AGGGTGCTTGGAGGGAGACGGGCCGACGGGAGTGGTGTGTCCTACGTTTACCCATGTGTTTGTTGATTCAAATAGTGAACAAATGAGTTACGCTCCGACTCACTAACATGGAAGTCGAAAACCCACTGTTTGTAGAGGAAAGTAGTCTTCCAAGAGGCCATGCCATCCACTTCCACGTCATGTGTTCGTCAGAGTGTACCCAGAACTAAGAGTAAAGGAACACCACTAAGCAGTTATCCAGGGGTCATGGCTTCGTTACGTTGTGTTTTTGTTCATGGCTTAAGTGTGGTTCACAGGAACTCAATCAGGGGGGCATGTGTTACAAGCCACGAACCCGGCCACTGGGCTCATCCAACGAATTAGTACGTGGTAGTATGAATCACCGAACTGCGCGTGTACCATATCCAGGAGTTTCACAGCACTTTTGACCGTGGGTGAGATATGGTAAGAGACCATACGTATGGAACCAAACCCTTCCTCGGATCAAAACCTACCGTGAGAGCTGCGCCTTGTCCTTGAGCTAAGAAGTCACAGGCCGGCAGCAAAGAGCTGTGTGATGGCACCTCGGCCAGGAAACAAACATCCTGTGCTGCCAGTCCCAAGGGAATCCGAAATGGTCTCGGATAGTCTGTTGATGTCTGTTGGACACACCAAATGGTTGATCCTGGCGCCTTGTTTCGCACATGAGTGGAGGGTGCAACATAGTTCAACAACAAGGCCATCATTCTCTTGAGAGGCCTTGGCCCGTGACAAAGCTAAATCAGTTGCAGGTCATCATCCAAACTCACCAGCATCTTCTGGTTCGATGTGAGTTTGCACGTACCAGAAAACAATTCCCCGCTCTTAGAAATAACACAGGCCTCTACAGCTGTTTTTTCAAGGTAGGTTCCTCAAAAACAACACATCAATCAACGGCTCCCAAACGAACAGAACAAGTCAAGTCTGGTGTTCTACAGTGTTTTTTTTCTCATAGATGGCACAAACCCAAAAATGTCTATCATATGCGGGTCCTTCTAAACCACTGTATAGTTATCTGGGCATGATGATGTCAGCTACACCCACCGGACTCGCTGTTTCGGGATCCAACTCGCTGTCTCGGGCCTGGAGGGTTGCTCCACCGAAACGGAGCCTTGGAAGAAAACGCGGGCTGAACGGGCCACCGGAACTCGAGAGTGGCCCAAGAGGTCGGAGAAAAAAGACTCGCACACAAATCCACTCCTCATAGAGGATACAGTATCTTTTCTAACTATATATCTTATAACTATCTATTGTAATATGTTTGTCTTTCATCGTGTATTTCTGTACTTTCTTTCTTTCTTTCTGTCTGTCTGTCTGTCTCTGTCTGTGTCTGTCTGTGTCTGTCTGTGTCTGTCTGTCTGTCTGCCTGTCTGTGTCATCCTTTCCTTTCCTGTCCTTTCCTTTCCTTTCCTTCTTTCTTTCTTGATGTGTGGATACAAAAACAAACAATTGATATGTAAAAAAAATATTCATAGTTGTGTATTATAGTTTTTGTTAAGTTACATATGTATTTACAATACATTTCACATTGAATTGACTGTCACCAAAGCCTCCCCGAGTAGAGAATGAACGCTCCTGTCCCACATCTTCGACTCGTGAAGTTTCAGTCCAATGGGTTTGGGCTAGACATCTTCTCTTGGTGCTGTCGATGCACCTGGCAAACATAGAACCTCTTCTCCCAGAACTGGTTTCATGGAAAACCGACAGGAAAGCCAGAGTTTTGGAGGTTCAGCCACAAGGGTTTCCTGCGGATGTTCCCTTAAACCAATTCATCGATCTTTCCCATGCCCGGGAAATCCCGCGGAAACAAACATAAAAATTCAGGAGGGGTAACGCACCATCACCCCATCCGCATCCGAGCCGAAGGTAGGGACAAGACCAGTCCTGGCACCCACCCCAACTTGAACCAACCACCAAACCGAAACGGAGGTAGCTAGAGCCTCAGAGAAGAGTGGTAGCAACTTTGTAGCTTTGGAAATCGTTGGGAGGTACCAACGTCTAGTCAAGTGCTCTAAGCGGCTCCCTGTTTGAACAAAAAATACAGTATTGATTCCCCCCAGCTTCTTGCCTCCCACCAACAGCTAGCAGCTAGTAGAATTAGATCTCTCTTCCAGAGATTTTCAGCAAAAAGGTGAAACTGCACCAATCAAACCTAAGCATGAAATTGGCATGGCTGTCTGGAAGGCCACTTTGCACAAAATCTTTGCCATTCCTGGCCTATTTTTCAGAGGGGGCAAAAGTTGGCAACAAGCTTGTGAATACATGACCTTGGAACCCTACAGAGGATCAGAGTGGAATTCCGGCGGATTGCTCGAAATCCCTCGAAGTAAGCATGATAAAGTGCATAATTTCGTTCGGGGTGGAAATTAATCCGCCGGAATGGGAAAGAGAAGTCATGTCAGTGAGGTTCGCGAGTGAAGTTGTTACCACACGTTCTTCCTCCTGGAAGTCTTGAGCGTCGAGACTCAACTTTTCATGTTAAGACTCTTGCGAAGGAGGTCTTGCGCTCTAGAGCACGTGCCCGGCGGGCTTGTAAAGTCACTTCGCAACTACCCCATTCAGTTTCCGCGGACTGACTTCAAGGGTCCACGGTCCGCCCTTTCTTTATTCTTACTTTCTCATGTGGATCCATAGGGTGGTTCCACATATCGATGCGGTCGATGACAAACATGCCCTGTCCATCTCCCAACGTCCCAACGTCTCCCATGGCTTGTGCCCCCTTTTGGTGGGCAGAGTTGTGACATGTACTCCAACTCCTCCATTTGCTGATTCCAAGCTGCCATACGGCGATGGTGGGCTCCAGCGGCAGGTTCAAACGCTGGCAGCGCTGGGCGTAGGCTTCGGCAGCCTCCCAAGAGCCTGGCAGTGAAGGAATATTGGTTGATGAACGGCCTACTGATCTGTGACCTCTGAAAGAGCTGAGCAGCACACAGGCAAATGTAGGTGTTCCATGGTTTTCCTCTATATGCTGCTCCTAATGTTTGTAGAACGATCCCAGGGCCCAAACGATCCCAGGGCCCATGATTGATGAAACCGTCGGCTCTCTGGACTTCGCTCGCAATGCAGCCAAACCAAACACCCCCTCCGCAGCTCCCGACGTCGCACGCGTGTTCCCGGCGCGGCTCCGACCCGTTCCTCCTCCTTCATCGCGTCGTTCCTCGCGTTCCTCGTGGTCTGCGGTCTTGGGCATGGCGGATGCAGCAGGAGTTCGTGGCGCCAAGATGAATGCGCCGGATGAAGGCAAACGTCATCCGTGGATAGGTCTGATTTTTGCATGAGACGTCTGAAATTGTAGTTCAAAGGATCCAGGTTCAAATTGTATGATTAATTAGCTTTCCCATGGATTGATGAAGGGGAGACTATGCAACTCTGACCAATATGCCAGAGGAAGTCTGTCCATGAGAGAAGCTCGGTGAGAACATCACCGCCGGCCAGTTTTTACGTCGGTGCCAAAAAAGAACAGCAAAGCTCTGACCTGGATGGGTTTCCTTGACATAAAAAGCCTCTATGGCTTCAACAAAAAAAGCAAAGCTCTGACTGCCTGGATGGTTTGCTTGACCAAAAAACTACTGGCACATTGATGGATTAATTTCATTGAAGCGTCTTGACTCTTGACCTTGATCTCTTCAAAACTCGTGTTCGTGCACCGAAGCTGTGAGCATTAAGTGGCTGCCAGCACATCTGACTCGCTTTGTTCATTGACTCAGTTGTCTCATGGTTGTCTCTTTGATTGAACATGTCTTCTTCGTGCCAGAAACCAAGCAACACCCGGGAGGTGCAGGCTGTCCGCATTCTCAGAGTAGAGAATTCCGGAGATCCCACAACACCTGTTGAAATGCCTGCCCGTCAGAAAGGTCCTGGACGTGACCCTTTTAATTCAGCTCTATGATATCTATCTAAAGTGTTGCTGTTGGCTGGATGCAAATGACTAGCATTGGCGGATTTGAGACCCGGAAAGAATCTAACATCTTTGCCACGCCAGGTGATTCATAGGGAAAGGAAACATCACCTAAGCAAAACAGCGTCGCCATGGAGACAAAAAATTCGTTATATAATGTTATATGTTATATACACACTCTTTGTGAAACCCTCCCAAGCTGGCGTACCCATCTGCCCTTGCAGAAAAAGACACGCACACGCGTCAACATCTTTCGACCCACATGCAGTACCCAATTTAATACTCCCTAAAAGAACTGGAACTACACCAGGGAGCGCTTGTAGCACCACTTTCAACGTCAAAGAATCTGGTCCGTCCATCCTGTTGGAAACGGCGGGCTCCGCCTCGTGTCTGGCCCCCCTGGAAGAGTGGGTATGACAAAGACCCTGGTCATCCTGTCATCCACACATGATCTCCCACCCCTAAGTTTGCGACTTGTCCTGGTACTCCTGAAACTGCCTTAGCACTTGGGGCATGACTTAGGGGGGCTAAACACCGAACACCAACCCACTATAACCGATCCCGCAAGCTTCCAAAGATGAGTCCTACGACCTACAAGAGTGGGCAAAGGCAGCAGCATGTTCCCATGCTGTTCCGAAGGTGGGAAGCAAAAACTGATGCCATGTTCACTCCAATGATGGAGCCATTTCCGCGAAAGGCACCAAGCTGATGTACTGATGTACTGCATGTTGCGGTCTGGTTGGCCCCTTCAGCCCCACACTGACTGGTTCATAGGTGGTATAAACATGATCTACAGTATCACGCTCTATTCCGCAAAGAATTCCACATCACCAACAGTATCCAACATCCAAAGAAAATCCCATCTACCACATGCTGACTTTCGGCCAAGGGCCACTTCCATCACCGTCACATGTCCCAAAAATTTCACCTCCCGCTCCGCACCGAAAACCGCTGCACTCCCCTCCCCACACGGGTTTCCTGCAGATATCCGCGCCCCTTCCTCCTCGCGGGTTCCCCCCGCGGCTTCCAACGCCCGCCCCCGCGCGGGGGGAACCCCTGCGGCTTCCGGGTGAAGCGGAGCGACGCCACCAACAAGCTGGGGTCCACCTCCGGGGCTTCCAACTCTTCAAGCTGCCTGAAGGGTGGCCCCCGTGGCCGGGCGACGGGTGCGAGCTTCGTTGTCTAAAGGTGGACGCGTTACTGCTGACGGTGGAAAATACACCTAAAGGGGAAAATATACCTCACCCATCACCCGGGGAAAAAATAAGAACAAACAAACGCATAACCCGGTGATACTCCCAATATATATCATCCCTATATCCAAGACCATCAATGCTTGACCTGGTTTTTAGTTAAACAATGTTAAACAGCTCGGGGGGGCGTTTGGTGTCGCGTTTGGCGGCGCGTTGGCCCAAGGCCAGCCGTTGAGCCAAGAATCCCAAGCTGATTTCGTGGGCCCTGTCGATCCATGCGCAAAATCCATCACTTAGTGCTGGGTAAGCGAGCCTCTAGCCGGGTCTACCCGAAACGGATGATCCAGGTCATATAGCATCATATAGTCCAAACGCTCCATGTATGCCGGTTTTGGGGGGGTCAATGCAGGCATATATGTTACACACACATATATATATATATATATACTGTACATGGTGCGTTTGCGTATGACACTAGTACCCCGTTTATGGCCACCTGCCCAATGTCAAATGAGCCAAGCGGCATCACCAAAGCTGCTACTTCGGCATCCGACATGGTCTGAGCTTCCGGCTCCTGTGACCAGGAAGCACTGCCAGCAGGCAGTCTAGTGTTAGATCTGCAAACAAAAAACATGGAAATGGGACAAAACGCATCCCATGAACCAAATTCCAAATCCCCGGACGGTCGTTTCCAGATCGCAAGAATTCGAAAGATGTGCCATGAAACATCTTGGAGACACTCCCTATAGACCATCCTAGAATCAATCACGGGAAAAGTGGATGGCATGGGGCGCGAGTTCGACTCGCATGACTTTGAGTTTTCTGAATGCCCAACAGGTGGTGGTGGTGCCATCCACGTCACCATGACGATTTCAGGGGAGTGGATGACCTCACGTGAGCTCCCAAAGGATAGAAATGGGTGCATAAGGAATCTTTGGAAGTGGCAGACTTTTTGGCGCATGGCAGTTGGGACAAGGGACCATGTAGTGAAAGAAAAAGGCTGCCTATATGGAAACCATCCCTGGCCCAATGAGTTGTTTTTTGATTATATATTTTATTTTATATGTCTATTATTCGTTTTTAAAAGACATCCCGCTATTTTGAGACACACAGGCACACATAAAAGTTAGGTCTTTTGTCCATTTGAAGTACCTCCAGCAAAAATGATTCCAGTTTTCCAACACTCCTGATTCAAAACTCAGCTGTACAGGATGCTGACACTTGTTGTTGCCGCGTGCGGCCGCTTGAAGCGAGCCTGGACCAGCCACCCAGCACTTTCAATCAAGGCTCCAACCGTTGCATCCCCAAACTCGCAAGGATCCCTATTTGGAGCTCGTAGGCAATGACACGTCTAAACCTGACCTTTCTATCCTGTCTTAGAGACACTGGTCAGGCAGTTCAGTTGGGGGAGGCCTGGAAGTCGCCAAAGAACAAGAATGAACACAATATATAAAGAGCGTCAAAGATCAAATGAAATGTAACTTAAGCCTATCCTTCTGCAACCTTGCTGCTGAAGGTCTTCGAGGATAGCAAATACAGATAGCCATCTGAGAGGCCAGTCTTTGTAACTGACCCGAAATTGAACTTGTGGGAAGCCAGGAGCCTTTGGCTAAACTGGCTGCATGCTGAGAGTTGCCATTAAGCCATAGAAATCACCACTCCAGCTTCGGCAGGTACAGCCACTGATGCAGTCGCAAGAGTCATCGCTGCTGCAGCTGCTGGCGCTCGTGCAGGGGAGGTCCTTCCAACTTGGAAGTTGACTTGGGGGCACTGCATCGACCAAACCATCGGAAGAATGCGCCGTTGGATCTTGTTGAAATAGCTCCGTCTTGTACTGGAGCCCTCGACTGATGGATGTAGCACTTGGGTGCTGCTCCCAGCGCACTTTCACTAATTTGCTCGTCCAAATTGACAGGTACACAGCACCATGATCTGGCTGGCTCTCCTGCAGCACTGGGCAGGAATGCCTTGGATTTGGTCAAGGACCTGGACCAAATGCTAGACCGACCTGACAAAAATCCATAACACACAAATACATATATCAGATATCATATTACTACATGTAAAAAACCGGCAGCGGTTGATCTGCCGCAACTTTTTACCTGTAAAGACATGGCTGTGGATGAAAATTGGGAGTCTCCCTATTAACATACACAGCCACATTGCCTCCAGAATTCAGCATTGCCAAGAGTGCAAAGGGATCTGCAGCCACCAGTCGGTTTCGGCCTGGGCGGTGCGAGAGATGGTGCCATTGCAGAGTTGCTGCCCCGCGGCATCGTACACCGCGCCGCCCATGGTGTACCTCGTTGCTTGGTTGGTTTCGGCAGGGAGACGTACGTTCATAGCGAGCTCAGGTCACGCGACCCCAGGTTTCAAAGAGATCTGCAGAGTCACATGCGACTCGACTCGCTGTGAACCTGGTTTCCACATGCCCAGTTCTGGGGAGTCACCCTATCCAAAAATCTACACATCACATCCAGAAAGCCAGGAGAAACGCGGGGGGAAAACGCGTGGGGGACATGTAATTCAGTGGCCAATCAGGGCCTCTCTGCCACTGCTCTACGATGTTTGTCATACATTGCGTTTGCCCCCCCCAACTTCATAGGCTGGAGTTGGTCATCGTGTTTTCTTTTCATTGCGCCGTTCTTTGTCGGGTCACGCGGCACCGTCCACGTCGTTGTGGCATTGATCACCTTAGGCTTTGCTGTGGAACCCAGCCCCAAAAATTCCGTCTTCGGCAGGGGATTCACCAGGTGGAGTTGTTCACCAGGTGGAGTTGTTCACCAGGTGGAGTCAATTCTTGGAAAAAAAACACCCCAATCGTCCCCCCGTGCGGAGACCTTCACCCAGTTGAGGAACACTTGGATTTGCGACTCCCAGGCTGCCGGACACAAACAAGAACATCCACATGCCCGGGGATTGACCCAGTTCGGGACACGAATCCACTTGACCCACCCAAGTCGACACCAAATGCCCCAATACAGGGGGGGCACCGGATTGACCAAATGCCCCAAGATGTCGAGCTAAAGAGGCCCACTTGATCCACCAAGTCAGGAAAATACACATCCACCGTGCCCTGCCAGTCACTATCGCAGCGGATGCGCACACTCAAGTTCAGGGGCCGGCAGCCTGGTGCACCGCACCTGGGGAGCGCCACCGGTGCACCGGTGCCCCACATGGCATATGTATGTGATTAACATATTACAATGTAATTATAAACAATCATTATATATATATATTAGATTATTATGTATTGATATTGACATGTTTTTTTACAAAATAACTCGTATACTATAGCGTTGATTGTCCGTTGTTTTTAACTATTCGTGCAATGATATAAGATGTATAAACATTATATATATATATATCGTGTATATATACCCTAGCCTCCAAAGACCATTAAAAGAACGGTTGAGCTGGTGTAGTGTAAACATCCTTAGTAAAACAATAGTTCTTTGGTAAAGACCATTAAAGCAATGGTTCTTTGAATCCTAGGGTATATATGGCCCCCACCCCAAGACCTACCTTTTTCATATGGCCAGGTCATACTGTTCAATCCAAAGGACTCCATGACCTACCTCACTCCTCCATGTCCTGACCACGCCCTTCTTGTTGCCATGTGGTTCCTGGTTCCAATACATTGGTGTCAAATGTGCGGGGTAACATATATACATGCATCTGCATAGATTCAAGATAAGCAAGTCAAAACAAAAACAGTTCTTTTGAGTTGAACTATGTTTTACCTGCGTTCAAGATTCAATATGCCTAGTAAAAGTTCATTCAGCAATCTTGAATCCTTAATCTAAACATTGAACAAACTAGTGCTTTTCAAACAACAACTAGTTGTGTTTTGCTTTTTGAACTTAGGCCCCGGATTCTAAATTATACTATTTTGCTCAGGAATGACTGTTCCCAGTCTACCTTCTCAATAAGCCACCAAAAAAACAAAATACCGAGCCACTTTGGAGGCATAGAGCTTGCTGTTTTGGTACTAGCTTCAGTGTTTGATTGTAGATTTGACTTTGTCCAACTTTTGTTTTAGTTCAGCAAAAAAAATTGTTTGGCATTCAATACCTACTTCAAAACACTTTATGACAAATCAAAAAATGGTTCGGCCATTGCCTCTTGCTGCCCAAAATGTCATTTGTATGTGTATCATGTTAAGAATGTCATTTGTGTCATCAATTTTAAGAATGTCATTTGTGTCATCAATCATGTTGTATTTAGGGCGTTCTTCCTGTTCATTGATGTAATCATCAATGGGAGCTTTTTCTCTGGGTTTGTTTTCTTCCTGCTTCTGTTGCGATGTCTTCAGTTCGTGGATTCTGGAATAAATATGGTTGTTTTGACCATTGCAAAAAGTCTGAATGTGATGCTTTCTTTTGGGCGGGTCATGTTTGACAGTTAAATGTTGAAATGTTAAACTCAATTAATACCTGTTCCATTTCCTTAACGGATACCCCCTTTCCAGTCAACTCATCTCTGCGAATAATCTCACTAATCCGTTCCTATTAAAAACAAAAAACAAAAAAAACAGTAACACTTTTCTAGTTATTCTAGTTGTCCCACTGATAAGCGCAGCCTTATAAAGTGCATTGATGCATTCCCCGATCATATATGATCTATGTAGTGACGTTTTAAATGCCTTTTTCAACTGTGCCAGCATCTGTTTTGGTGCGATTGTATTGAATAGTGCTAGATATCTACATTAGCTGCATCTGTCAAATTGTCATTCAATACATGCATTCCTTTACCGTTCGCTCGACTGACTCTGATTCTGATACGGCCTAGCCTAGGTTGTCATAATACATTCTCAAGTCCTTGAACTAAATCAAACATTCTGTATCATCACTATATAAGCACATTTTCCTATTATCATAGTGTGGATTTTGTCAAATAACACTTTGGTATGTCTCCTGCATTGTCCCTTTTGAAAGTTCTCTTGCGTATAAAATCCATAGGAAACCTGTCCCATGTATATTTTGAAAGCTGACAGTGAAATCATAAGCTCCTTGATACCAAGCTCTTTGAAGTCTCCCTCGGCACAATCTTAAAGGACAAACTCAACCCCAAAAAAGGTATTCTTCTCCTTCCCTTTCTTTGCATCAAACAACCTTGTGTTTTGTTCTTCTGGTTTCCACAAAGGTATATAGCACCTGAAAATATCGTCTCAACCCTCTGCATGTTCTTTGTTGCTTGTAGATCTATCTATAATATTGACTTAGATTTGGGGCGTGGCATGTATTGTGACTCTGAAAGATTCACAACGCTGTACAGGGCGTGGCATGTATATATATATATATATATACAGAAGGGGTGGGAAAACCAAAACCCAGGCCCCATGCCCACCCGCTCTCTCTCTCTCTCTAGAGGTATATATGTTTAACACCAAAAAGGAAAGGTCCCAATTTGGGGATGTCCTCGGTGCTCCAAAGTAGTCCCACTTCAGGGCTTTTGGCACCGCTGTGCACCATCGTTCGGGGTCGCGACCCGTGGAACGCCTCGAGCTCCAAGCGAAACGTCCCCCCATGTGTTCGGAGCTTGGGCGCTTTTCAGGAAACCTGGGGAACAAAAGTTCCCCGTATTCAAAGATTCTACATTTTTCCATTGCACAAGCCGAAAGAACGAAGTCTGTGGCCGCTTTGGCATGAATTACTAATTATGCAGAGATTCTACCGAAAAATAAACAAAAACTGATCCGCACAACCAAGTCCTCTGTCGTTCATCTAGCTGCTTTCTGATGTTCCGCCCCTCACCCGACACGAACACGGATGTTTCGGGGATGCGCATGTGTCACTTGAATGGAACGGCAAGGTTGGAGGGTATTATAGGATAATTCATTCACGTGGTAAAACTGTTTGAAGCTTTTGAAGAGTTGACGTGTTGACAGATCAATCTTGTATGGTCTCAAGCTGGAAGTGAAGCATCTTAAAAACTGCCAACCACCAGCAACATCCCAAAAGCATGTTTAAAAAACACACACATGGCCAGCTGGGATGGCTTCAAGCTGGAAAGGCGCTGCTCCAGGTCGGTGGCGAACTTGCGGGTGTACAAATACTTCTTGCCTGAGAACCGGCCACGCTGAGAACCACCCCCTGCCTACTGATGAAGAAACATGTCATCTTCTCGCAGCCCATCTCTGTGGAAGAACAGGATCAAACAGGCACCACCTTCCTAGGATTTCTTAAGAGATGTAATTAAGAGGATTACAGTAATCTAGCTTAATTTTCAGAACCCTCATTTCTGCAACCCACAACAGTCCCTTCTCTTTCTTAAAGGATTTTCCCAAGGCTTCCCCTCTTCCGTCCTGTTCCCTGCCTGAGCTGGTCGTCACAAAGGCAGAGCCATACTTCTGTGTCACCTCCGCAGGAGGGCTGATGATCACCAGGCGTTGGCATGTGGCACCCACCAAGAGATACCCCTCAGCGCAGCTGCCGCACGTCTCGCCGACGTATCCCTGGTCACACACCTCGGCGAAACGACCGGTCCGTGGGTAGGTGCGTAGGTCGCAAGGACTCGCGAAGTCGAACAGGCGTTCTGAACAGGGAAAATGGGAAAAACACACCATGACATCCTGAAAAAAACTGTCTCTTCATGTTTCTTTTGTAGGGTATTTCAAACAAACCGTTTTTGAGTTTGGGAAGCCTTAGCCTTAAGCTCCTTATAGGGGATCCGGCTGAAGAACTCAGAACCCAAACAAGTCAAATGCGAAAGGTGCTTCCATGGGCAGTTAATGTAGGTTCTTGATTGACAACCCCACCATTTGAATTGAAAAACCTGTTCATATGGGGTGGTTTATTCATCAAGAGTCTACATGATGGGTCAAAACCTGGATCCTGATTGACACCTCTCGGGATTCACCACCATCTGTTCAATGGTTCTGAACGAACAACCCTGGTTTTAGCCGGTTTTTGCAAGGATTTCCGATAGAGCCAAATCAGACATTATTGTACCATAAGGATTTAAACAGACAAAAACAAGGCCAACACTGTTTTTTTGTTGCATGGTCTTAGAAAAGGCAGTTTCCCCACATGGACCATCTTCAGGAGGAAACCCACACCGATCCCCCATCGGCCGCTGGGTTCTCGGTGAGGATCACCAAGGGTGACCAATGCTTGGATTTGCCGTGTAGCAACCTGGTAAAAAAATCAAAAAAATAATCACCGGGACCGGTCCTACACAGAAATCGGAAACCAAAGGGAATTCACTCAGAAGGGGATGCCCAAGGGGATTCACGCATTTGATTCACTCAGAAAACCGGAAAAACACACATCACCGAAGCAAAGCCAGGGTCCGGTCATTGAGATAAAAGATCTTTACACTGAAGACCTCCTAAGCTAAGAAACCCATCTGCCCGAAAAGCGCAAAAAACCGTCACTTCCACCGAGCAACGCAAACACCTTGAAGTGCCTCACCATGGCTGCAGCTCAAACCGAAGTTCACATCTGTCTCACAGGTCTCCTCTCAGCGGCAAGGCACCCCGAAACTAGAAGAGTCCCCTTTAGGAGAAGTCCCCAGCCGAACCTGCTGCCATACCTCCGCAGCACGCAGCTGAAGGTGTATGGCAGGCGGCGGCTCCCATCGCTCTTCAACCCCGAAAAAAATGGTGTTCCCAAGAGAGGTGAAGTGACCGTAAATAGGACCCGGAAAACGTGTGGTACCAGACTGGGATAGTCGAACAGTCGGGTTCTGACCCACCTCTGTTGTTCAGGTCGGTCAGTTCGTCTGAGCTGGTCCCGGTCGCTCCTGGTAGTGGGCGTTCAGAAACGACGCCAAGGCGGCTGCAACTTGCTTTACAGCAGCAGGTTCCACCATTGGAGGTGAAGAACCATAGCCTCGCATCACTTGTGGCAGCTCCAGTTGAATGCCTAAGGCTTGGCAAGCGGAACGTGTCTGAGGGCTGGATTGGCACAGGTGAACTTGCCAGCGATGGATCCTATAATGGGTGCTTTTACATATCATGTGCACAGGGGAACGGGCAAAAGGTGAGGGCGGATGTGGTTACAGTGCCGAAAACACCACCTGAAGGTCGTTGATCCTCGTTACAGCCGAACACTGAGAACCTCTTCCAAAGAAAATAGGCGCCCTCCGAGACAATTGAAAGAACACGTTTACCTGGTTTTGCGGTGCAAAGCCCTTAGCGAAACAAAGTTTTTTATTTTCGGTAAAACAACATGTCAAAACATGTAAGAAAACTACGAAATCCAGGGTCATTGGAGGATAGGGAAACAGTTTGGTGGATCGATGAAGTGTTATCTTTGGCGTTTGTTGAGCTGGACTTGGACAAGAACCGTTGTCCAAGAACCAGGGACAGCATGGAAACATGCTATCACTCACCAACAAGTTCACCCATTGGGAAAAAAAACAAGCAAAATCAGAATTCAAACATGCATGAAGCCACAAAACATCACATGTGACACCATGTTCCCCATGCCGCAGGCAAGTCCTTTATTGTGACTATACACCATGCCCACTACCATGCCCTTCCAACCCACCAAAAGCCATCCCAGAACTCCTTGCCACTCCCATCCGCTGATCGCCTGCTTGTGTGTTGGACACGTGGATCTTCAAGTTATGCCCACCCATGAAGAGGCTGCTGTAGGAGGATCCAGGGCACACGGCGTCATCCGGGCAGCGTAGCGTTGGGGAGGGAACGACTTCCATCGAGGGACGGTTGGTCTTCAAGTAGTGGCCCAAGCTGCTAGAGCCTTAGGCGGAGAGTGGTGCATCAAACATAGTGAAACATAGAACCCGGAAAAAAAAAGACAAACACACACACAAACAAACAAAGAAACAAACAAACAAACAAACAGGTGTTAAAAAGAGGATCATTGTCTGAACAAAAGTGGTCGATGTTCAGGTTTGATGTTGAACTTATGGTGTAGACTCAAAGACCATGTGGTGTGCGTGACTCGGGGATGAATGAAGGGCGTGGGATGAGGGCGTATCATCTCAAGTGATCATGTTCATTTCGATGGGGCCCTTTGAACGCATGGACTCAAAAACCAACCAGGAAAAAACACACAAAACTCATTCCGTTAAGTGATGCCTTCCACATCGCCCCCCTCCGACAAATGAACCAAGCATCCCGAAGAATGACAAGTGTCAAAACAACTGTCGGAACTTCAAAGGGAAGCCATGGGCCGATGGGCCTGAGAAAACACTACACTCCTCCTTGAAAGAATCATGACAGTGGAGAATCCAACTGCTTGGTGTATTTGCAACATGGTCATCCTTCCAAAAACTATGATTCTTTCAGGGAGTGTAGTATCTAGATGTATCTAGCATACACCAAGCGTGTGTTTTCACCTGAAACACCATGGACCACTCATGGCTCAGTCCAGGAGCCCCAAACCAACTCTGTAGCACCTCCCAAGGCCCGTAGGGAGGAATCGGAGTCGTGCTGCTGGAGCGACGGCGGATGTTCTCCCGCACCCTGATTCAGATCCTTGGACTGCCGCGACGCGCGGGGTGTGCACAAGGTGGTCAATGCTGGTGTATGTTTCTTAATGTTGATGGCGTCAAAAGCAGTAACCATAAAATTGAAAAACAACAACACACAAAAGGAAGTGGAGCAAGCCCGTCACACAAAGTCGGGAGTCGGGACCTACAAGAGATGCAAATTATACATTTGTCAACGCCCCACGGCAGGAACCTCTGACAAAAAGACAACAAAATGCATGTCCCCTGAACGTGCACGCCATATTTTTATCATGGTTTCTCTATTACAATCTCTACAAGAGATGCACGTCCCCTGCATCAGCCCGTCTCACAGAACACAAGCCTCAGGCTGTGCGGCATGCGGGACTTTGCGATCCTTCATGAAGCGCAAACAACTTCACGTTCACGGGAAGATCATCCAATGACTGGACAGCATCCCCAGCCTGTCATGGTCATATATGGTCACGCTCATGCTCAGGACGTATACCCAAAAAGGTTTGTCCTCCATGCACAGTGACACCAGCCTCGGAAACCGAAAGAAACTGAACAAACAACCAAACACCGTCGCACAAAGTCCCAAAGCCACAAAGTCACAAAAAGCAATCCCAATTTCCCCAGCCCAAGGAAAGTATGTCTCAGGGGGCCCAAGCGCAAGGTCATCACATGTCATCACCCACCCACGTTGGCCGTATCTTGGGCCGTCCGCCAGGCGCGTCCGCTTGGCGCAGCTCGCAGCAGCTCGCAGTGTCGAAGGAACTTGCAGTTAACGAAGTGTCAAGGCAGTGGACGAGACCGCTCTTCCCTGGACAAGAGGCCGCCCTGGTGCTTTTCCAATGGTTAAGTTTGGGTGGTTTCTGTTGCCCGGCACTGTAAGATCAGGCCAGCGGCCAACAACCTTGTGAAACAAGGCGGCCAGCGGGGTGTTGCACTGGGTGGTACGCAAAAAGTTTAAAAAAAACAGCAACCACGGTTTGCCACTTGCTCTCATCTTGGAGAAAGGCAGCCATTTTGTGGTAGATGCAATTCTTCAGGGGTGCCGTGCCTTTAGTGCCAGCCAACACCCTTGGTAACCTCAACTCCTGGATGACGGTGAGAAGGGCAGCATGACGCAATCCCACCGTCCTTGCTCGCCTGCATCACGACTAAAAAAGCCTCTCTTGCGTAGTCTTGCGTACCAAGAGAGGTAGCCAGTGACCGTGACTGTAGGACCCGGAAAACCTGGGGTACCCTGGCCTGGGATAGTCGAACAGTCGGGTTCTGACCCACCTCTGTTGGTAGTGTCCAGCGCTCGACGAATGCTGATGCTTCGCCTCTCTTCACATTCTTCGACCACCTTCTGCTGGGTTTTCGTCTTCCCGTCTCCACATTCCTTTGCTCCGGGGATCTCCAATGGTGGATGCGGAGGCACAACGAGGTGAGGAAAGCAAGAACCATCACTTTGAGCACATTCTCAGGACGCTTGGCGCACGCAGGAGGTTGCGGGCGATCATGGCGATCGCCCATTCGGATTCGGCGAATCGCCTGGGCAGCCTGAGCAGCCCAAGAGAGGTGGGTGACTGTTCGGCTATCCCAGTTGGGTCCGTCAGGTTTTCCAGGTCCTATTTACGGTCCATTCAACCTCTGTTGGGCCTGAGCTCTCTGGAGGGGTCAAAGCGGGGCATGTCTTTCGATAGACAACATGCGAAAACCATGGATTTCTTTCTGGACCAAAGCGCCAGCGTGCCTTGCAGGAGCCAATCAAATGACCTATATATGGAAAAAAAAACGGTGTTGCAGCAGTTTCGAAGCTTTGAAGGATCAGGCATGGGGTTACTATAGCTCCATCCGCCTGTTCCATGCACAAGTCGATGTGCTAGGCATGGAGGCACTGGCTCGCAGCGGAAGGCTGTCTGTGCAAGGTTTGCAAACTCATGCGAACACGCATCTTTCATGCCTGGCTGGTGGCTTTCTCCACAGACTGCAGTAAAGTTCCGGGAACTTTGTGCGGACGGATGGACTTGGCCTGGCGGTTGCTACCTATAGGCCACATGGACTTGCTAGTTTCTGGCATGATGCTACAGTTTTTTCCCTGCACGAGAATGATCGGGCCATTCCCTCCAAATTCTCCTTTGAAGCAGCAAATGTCTGGTGGTTCCACTGAACGCGCTTGACCGCATCTCGGCGAAAGTGGGCCGACTTCTGTCTGAGATTGCCCAGCAACACCCCTCATTTGCATTTGCCTGGCGTTCGGGATGGAGCATGTGAGATGGTCCCACCTAACCTCCCGCGGTTTACTAGCATCATCCACGGTCCAAGTCCAGCCGCTGCTGTGGGCCGGTTCCTTGCTTCAGTCGGGGGCTCATGAAGGCTAGCTTCGAACCAAGCCCCAAACATCTGCCGATCAACCAAGGGGGCTTGGTGATCCTAATCACCTGACCCCACTGCCTACAAGTGAAACTTCTCGTTTTACTGGGTGTTTGATCAGTTGATCATACAAACGCACTCATTTATACCCAAATATGAGGTGGGTCAGGCTGGACCTGTAGTCATGATGATTTGTTCAACCTACCCAGGAAGAGTGCATCACCTGCCCAAGCGACCTGGGGGGATTGGCCAATGGATGATGGGTCGGTTCTTTGGAGAGGTGATCGACATTCCATGTAAAATATTACATATGTGCATATATTTATATGTATACGTTAAATAAATAAATATATACACACACATATATATATATATACACATATATATATACACACATATATATATATATACACATATATATATACACATATATATATACACACACATATATATATATATATACACTATATATTGTATTGTAGTATGGCAGAAGTATACATGATATTACATGATATACTTCATATGCCAGTCTCATTGTAAAATGCCTTGGGTAGACCCGTCACCTCTCTTGACTGAATTCTCCGAGTCTCCGTGGCGGAGAGTCGCACACCCACTTCCACGCGGTGTCGCCCGGTGGCATGAACGGCCACCAAGAGGGCGTCGGAGGCCGCAGCCACTTCATCGGCCAGAAGGGAGTGATACCTGGGCCGCAAAAAGCGTTGGGATGTTTTGGGTGAAGCCTTCAGATATAGGTTGGAGATATCCTCAATACCAGTAACTAGTGGATGATGATGGTGTGTCAAGGCCGGTCGAAAGCATCTTGATGATTTTTTTGCCGACTGTCACAAGTCATGGGACACACCCTATCAATACGACTCACAATATACTAGTGCTGTGGCCCTTCAAATGATGGTTCTTGGAAGCTACCAGGCTGCGCAAGCGCCATGCTACGAAGCCCTCGTCTTGTGCCTCACAGCCCAGACTTCGACCCGTAGGGTTTGACTTTGGCATTTGTCCGCGAGCTTTTTTTGTCCAACATGTGCAGCATTTCCAAGATACACATCATTTAGCTCCATTGCTACTTGTTGATCACCGGCGTCGGGCAAATCGCAGCAACATTCGCCATTGCTCTGCGTGGAGCAGTCTTCCCCACCTGTGTGGATACGGTCTGGTCCGACAAAAAGGAAACGAAGTCGTGAAGCCACTCCAATGATTAACTCCCTCTCAAGAACTGTTTGAGTGTCCCTTGGAAAAAGGTATATCAAAATGGTTCATGTGTTGTAGAAAACATGTTTCCGAAAGCTTAACAGTAAGCCACTTCGCCTGGCTTCTGATTCATGCGACATAATGCAACCTGAAAGGAATGGTTTAGAGGGTGGTAGCCAGTTCGCCTTGCTCACAATTCACGCCATCATCCACTCCCATTCCTTTCATGTACCGGTCCCTCCGTTTCAGCTCGATGAAACAGCAAATCTTGCTGAAGGACTACCCACCTGAAAAAAAAAAACATAATAGAATAAACATGAATGTATATATATACACAGACATATACAAACAACATATGTAAGATTAGAACATATACAAACAACATATGTAAGATTAGACCTGATTCAACCACCCCCTGGCACTTCAGCCCAGCTAAGTTCTGGTTGATTTCATGGATTCATCACATGATCAGCCGTCACCTCCCACCACCCACCATCCCAGCATCTCCTCACCTGGCGTGCTGGTGGTCCCCGTCGCCCGGTTGGCATCCACCCCCTGGCGCTTCACGCGCAGGATCACCGCACGCGGGAAGCGGCCGCAGCGCAGGCCCAGCTCCGACCACAAGGCTTCAGCGAAGACGTCGGTGTTCTGATCCTTCGGACAGAGACGTCGCGAGAACAGATCCGGAAGCCAGTTGGGGAAGATCGCAAAAGTCACCTGATACCTTAAGCAAACCCGGGAAATCAGTCTCTTTTTCTGATCAAGGTGTGTGTCAAAAACACTGGCAAGGGAAGCCGCACACCATGTGCTCTCACTGGACCGCTGGGCAACTTTAACACAATTTGAAAGATGTCATGGGTTGAAGACCCAAACACCAAGCGGTGTTGCAGACTTTCGACAAAAGAATGAGCCCATGACGCCCATTGGTTCCGTGGCAGTCCAGCCTGGAGGAAAGGTCCTGGTATTTCGTCCAGTCTCAGACTTGGCTTCAAGGAACATTGACGAGGAATCCCATGGGTTCTGCGGATGAAACATGGTTTCCTCTAGATTTTCTCTGAAACAAATGTCGTTGTTCACTGCAATTACAGGACATGGAAGAACCCCCCCACGGCAGAACTGATGAAAGTGAAAGCTCCGATGAACGGAAGTTCGGAGATCCAAGGAGCTGAAGTCAGGACCCCACTGCTGCGCTGTGGCCACCTGGAAAAGAACAGGAACTCCACTATATAAACCTAATAGCGATGGCCTCCAACCTAAGAGCAATGGCCTCCACCATAGTAGCAAAAAAGGACAACACATGGAACACTTGGATTTCGCTGATTCGGAAGCCGGGACAAGATATACACTCTGACTCACTAACATGGAAGTGGACAGCCCACTGTTGGTAGGGGAAGTCGTCTTCCAAGGGACCATGCCATCCACTTCCACATGATGTGTTCGTCAGAGTGTCTAACAGGTTTCCCCGTTTCAGGGGATTCACCCCCAAAAAGGGAAAACACATACATCCTAAGCAAAACAAGGATCATTTGTCACAACGTCATAAATAAGCGCGATCTGAGATCGACTTTGGATGTCAAGGAAGTGCCAAAGCTTGGACAATTCCAGGAAACCAATTGGCAAACATCCTCATATGGAGACCACCAAATAGATTGTAGAGGTAGATCACCACAAAAAGAGTGTAATTGGAAGCCGCATGAATCTATCGTTTACTATTGCTAGTAAGTTGAAGATCACAACGTGACTTCTTTGGTGTCTCCAAGTGACCTTTACACGCCTAAGTGACCAAGTGGCCTCCTCATCCTCAAATATACATATACATATATATATATATATTATATATACAGTGTAACATTGAAGCTCATGAGAGGTCACTTCAATAGGGGTGTGGGCACTTGATTCCATCACAGTATTGACTCTTTACAATTCCCACTTAAATCCTAGAAGTTTCCTAGAGGATTCCTGTTGCCATCCTGAGCTTTAAAGACTCTGATTGTCCTTAATGAGGCTGAAAACCTTCACCCTGCTATCATTGCATCTTTCCCCAAACCTAGTGGCAGCCAGGCACAGTCACAGCCTCTTCAAATGCAAATCTTTCCAAACCCAGTGCCAAACAGGCAGGAGCTCACCAATCATTTTTGAATTGAGGGGGACTGTGAAAATACCCAGTTGCCATGAACTTCTGTGAAAGATCAAAGAGATCAAAGACTCAAACATCTTCATTCTCTTTCGGCTTCGAAGCTCCTAAGACAAACATGACACACCCGTGATTAGTTCAGGCCACCCAGTGTAGATCCGCCCACCATGCGGGGCTTCCAGGATCAATGGCAGGCTGCCGGGCAGGATGGACCTGGGCTGGATGGACGTCCGCAAGCTCAGAGAAGAGAGAAAAGCGAAGACTGACTTGATCTCACTTGGATTTGCCTTGGTTCTCACTGCTTCTGCAACAATCATGCAAGTGGACAATGGCCCCTCTGAAAACCATTTTCCTCTATCGAGGGGAGGTTGTCCACTTCCATGATTGATAGTTGCAGGGAGACTAACTTTCAGGATGTGAACTTCTTAATTATTCTCTTCAAGGGAGCCTAAAAACCTATCATCTTATATAAAACTGTAGAGTCTATACCCAGACCATCCATGGGACTGGAATTTATATTGTATGCCATCCCATTGGCCCCTGAAATCAACCACCCGACACCTGGGCATGTTCGGTGACACTGCCTATCTATAGACGGCTAAGCTAAGAGTGCTTGCTAAGCGGTTTTGTTGAACTGGGCCCTGCATGGCCCTGCCATGTTTTCGACATGCAGGGCCCTTCAAGCAAGTCAGCAAGCCCTACAAAAACCTATCCCTAGGGCTCCAAGTACCTTCTGAGAAGGTGGGACTGGGGTGGGTGCCAGGAGGGTCCAGTCATACCGAACCTGAGGAGGCACGACTGGAGCCCTATAGGGTATATTATATGATGTGCTTCTTGGAACCTCCTCTGCCCACGCGACCACGCAAAACCGCCCATCGTCGCTTTAGCGCGTCGCGGTCGCGGACCAGCGGCACATCGCCCAGGTCCATCTGCATCCGAAGGTTCCGGAAGTGTCCACCCCACTGCCTGCCAGACCTTACCAAGGGAGGTAGCCAGTGACCAGGTCACTAGGACCCGGTAGCTACCTGGGGTACCCTGGCCTGGGATAGTCGAACAGTCGGGTTCTGACCCAGCTCTGTTGGTAAACACGAAGAATGAAGATTGGGATCCCAGAAGGAGAAGGATGATATAGTAGGCATCGATTACTGGATTGCTGGATGTATTCTATCCCAAACGATCAATCCTTTTGATTGGAGAACTCTGGAACGTCTGTGGTTGCGCGAGATAGTCCAAACCACGAGTTTGACTCTCTCGATATTATCACGCTCTCCCTGGAGTGTGAAACATTCAGTGCAATGGGCCAAACTCAGTGCCCAAGATTTCCCAAGCCCCTCAAAAAGCGTCAGGATATCCTACAACATCCTACAACCATGTTCCAGCACTTGGACAGCCCACCAGCCAGGAATCGGCTTGTCCCAGCAGTTGAAGGTCACAATAACTGCAATCAAAAAATTCTTTCATATGGTAAGGCCATAATCCTTGAAAAAAACAAGTCGAAAAACAAGTACAACAAAAAGTCAAAGTCAAAAAGGTCAAGTGGAAAAGTCCAAAAGCAAGGTCAAAAAAAACAGCAAAACAAACATCACAAAACATGTCAAACAAAACAAGTCGGACAAAAAAAAGTTAAAACACGTCAAACAACAGTCAACAAAAGAAAACAACTATAACACAAAAATAACTATAAATAAAGAATTAAAAACAACACACATAAAAGTCAAAAAAAATCAACAAAAGTCAAAAAACGGAAGATAAACAAAACATTAACAAACAATATCAAAAAAAAGGATCTGGACCAATTGACTGTTTTTGGACTTTCTGAAACTTTATGATTTGACTGTTTTTTTACTTTGACTTTTGGGACTGACTACTAAGTTTGACTTAAAACAAAGATTTGAAAACAGGCTCTCTCCAATGAACGATTTATTAAAACTACAATCACCTCCCAACCGAAGCCTGTGTTTGGCCAACTCCGAGTCCACCTCCGAGTCCGGTTTCTTGGGGTTTAAGTCCGGTCCAACCGTTGCCCCCGGGCGGACGGGACCGCGGACCGGACCGGGGACCGAATCAATGCTTGGAGACTCTTGTTCCCATTGGCGCGTGAGTGCAAAGGCCTCGGCAAAGTCCTCAGAGACATAGCGAGTGGCCTCCTCCAGTGAGTTGGCGTTCTCGTAAGTGAGTTTCACCTCGGTTGGGGGGTTCATCCCTCGCCTTCAAGGCCATTCAAAGCCTTGGACCTCGTGTAATAGTTTGTAATAGTCTAAACCCCCCAGCAAAACAATGAAGCCTAGGGATATCCAACACGAAGACTGAAACAGCGTTCCTTTTGGGGCCAAGTTTGATGCTGAATCTTGGACGGACATCTTCGGAGTTCCTGTGCATACTGCACATAAACATGTTTAGTTTGCAAACATGTTTGGTTCTGAACTTTACACTCCAACTCTAACATGGAAGTGGAGAATGGTCCCTTGGATCACTATGTTCCTCTACAAAGAGCGAATTTTCACTTCTATATAATGTTAGTTTAATATTGATGGGAGTGTAGTACCGTTTGTCGTGTGAAGCTCTCTAGGGCTTTTTGAGCCAGAAGTTCATGAACACTTTTCACCCCAAATTTGAAGCATCTGAGCCACGCTTTGGTCGGTGTTGAGCACCAACCAAACATGGTCCACCTCTTGTAGCGTCCGCAACTCCTTATCATGGCCTCTGCAGCGATGTTTGCTTTTTGCGTGGCGATCATGGATATTCATGGATCATGGGCAGCACAACCAGTAGATCGGTATTGTTATGGTACATCCGCTCTTCTGGCATGGAGGGCTGGGAAGATGGAGGTGAATCAGTTATGGGATGTTATGGGCCAGGGCAAGTAGACCTTCAGGAAGCAACTTATTTTGCGGGCGTATATAGATGTACGATGTACATAGCAGGGTGAACTCTGGTCAAACAAACCCGCCGTTTGGAGGAAGCGTCTTCCAAACCCCCGCGCCACCCGGGGTAGCCGCCACCACCCCAAAAGCTACCTGGATCTTCCAACTGTGCCACATTTCCGCCTTTTCATCCAAAAAATACCTAGCACAAGTTCGGCAGGCATTTGGCATAGCTGGAAGGTACGAACTCCTCAGGCAGTGAGACCCACTGAGATGGCTAGTGGTTTTGGGATGCTTTTGGTGGCTTGGGGTTGCTTCAATTTCTGTGGCGATCCCAAAGCTTCACCATCCGATGGAGTCCTGAAATCAGCCACCCGAACTGAGGAGGGAGAGTCCATGCCAGTCCCGATCAGTTCGTGTCTGGGCAGCACAAGTCGTCAGTGAGACCGGAACCAAGTGAAACAACCAAACATGACCTCAAACAGGCCAACGGGCTGCTTGAGGTGGTAAAAACCCCCAAGGTATCCCAAGGTACAGACTCCTTATTGTACTTCAACGCCCCCCGCGTGTTCTTTGGAGGGCCATTGGTTCATATGGCTTTCTCATGTTGCCCCAAACCAGCCGTGTCCGGGTCCACCGGGGTGAGCCCGGGAGTTCGAACTCCCCGGCCTCGCAGCGGAAAGGCGAGCCAAGCATGGTCGGACAAGGAGGTGGGCACTGCGAGGGTCTCAGAGGGTCCAAGTGCCCAGCTCCCATCCTGAGGGTCTCGGAGCAATCGATGCCGGGGATGGGAGCTGGAAGTGATTTAGATGCCCGGTTCTTCACTTTCAAAGGAATCCATGATAGAGCCAGGTACTATAAGTTACTGTATACGATTTTATGTGATTTTATGAAAGCAGTAAGCAGTTCAGGCTAAGCATCTGAAAGGTAAAGACCCACCTTCGCCAGGCCGGACACGCTGTTGGTCTCATCAATCCCCACTCGGATGCTCTGTAACCAACAGGGCTTGGAAAAGCAACCCAGGACCGGCACCTTGACCGCCAAAGTCTTGTCACCTGACCGATCTGTTTCATCAAAACCCAGGGCCCTTGGGCCCCGGTTGGGTCGGTTGGGTCCTGAACTTCCCACCTCTTAGATTCCATGCGGTGAAAAACACATGCAATCCGGTGAAAGGTCCAAAACGCATGGCAAATCTTGGACTTGCGGTCCAGGAACCTGGAACAACAAATTCACCAAAAGGGGGGGGTGCTTACCCGGCTTATCCAGAAGGAAAATAAACAATCACCTTAAGCAAAACCAGGAAATCCTCTGCAAGTGACCTAAAGAGCTTCCCCTCCTCTTGCCACTCGCTCCCGGAGAGGCAGTCGCACAGCTGGAGCCACCAAATCCATGACAGGTAGGAGCCATGGGATGGTTGGCGGCAGCTGTCCATAAAGCCATCAAGCCGACGAAGCCGCAGCGCAAGAAGCATCCCATGATGGAAGCTCCGCAAAATGTCCCTGCGTCTGTCACGCGAAACGCTGATCCGACTGCTCCTGCACGGCTTGACCTGAAAGCTTCCTGTGGTGCACGCATCTCAAATCATGCATCAAACATGGGCATGTAGAGCCCTCTTGATGACTACATATTCACCACTCCACGCCACCATCGAAAGCCCGCCCCCACCCCCTGCAACCCATCCAGCTAACCCAGACCTGCATGAGGCTCAATCGCATCGCCAACTCTTCATCCTCAGACACCGTTGAAGCCTGGCCGTCGAGGCCTGGGAGCCCTGGGCCTGGCCGTCGAGGCCTGAGCCCCAGGTCCCCGAAGCTTCAGAACAAGAGCCCCTGACATCCATTCGAGGAGTCTCAGAGTTGGTTTCAGGGAAACATCTACAGGAGACCCGTAGTTGTGGGGCTGAAAAACCAAGGGGGGTTCCTGTAGACTTTCCCTCACACCAATTCATTCGAGGAGGGTGTGTGATTATCTTAAGAACCTCACATGGTTCGATTCACCGATTCACAACCTTTGAGCGTAGTAACTACGAAGTGCTTAAAAAGTAACAAACAAGCAACAAAAACACACACACACACACCAAAACAAAACAGCGCAACAACAACAACCACGACGACAACGACAACGACAACGACAACAACAACAACAACAAACACAACAACTAGCAAAGAAAGAAACAAACAAACTATCACCGTCCTTGAGTCCTTGCTTTGAACATGACACACATTGAAAGAACAGATCCCATGGCTTTCAGAAACTGGCTTTTGCCATCCATCTGACTGCCCTCCACTGCCGATCGAAGCTGAACCCTTTTCGCTGGCCTCCGTAGGTGGAAGCTCGGTCGAAGTGCTGGATGTGCCTGGCACAGGACCTGGCAGGCGCGTGCTGCAGGGTCTGAGTCGTATGTTGCGCTTGGGGATGACATCCGATGTGAACATCAAAGCATCCAAATGTGGGGCTGAAAACTCGTGGCTGACCAGTTTTAAATTGGTGTTGCGCGGGCAACGAACTCTCTTGATTGATTGGGATATGATACATTGGGATTGTGTCCTTGTCAGGGGTAGGAGGGCACTTCCCAGTCTTGAAAGGAACACATGTGCAGAATTATTTTGGGCCCCCCTGATGGCCCCTGGCCTATCCAAAGGTTGATGTCACACAACGTTGATTCAGGCTCTCTCGGCTTCGCGCGTTGATTTTCGGCTTCTCACGCCTGGTGTTGGAGGAGACATCGAGCTACTCGTGGCATGCAAGCGCTTTTGGAATCGTCCACCTGGCACAACCAAACCAAAGCGGCAGCGCGTTGTTTCAGGTCATCAAGGCAGCTTTTTTAAGACCCTTGCTAGCCGCTCGCCAAGTGATGGTCTTTAGATTGCTTTGTTCCAGCCTGAAGTCATTCCTTCTTGACCGCCCCCCGCCTCTCTGCTTCTCCTCCACCTGAGAGTTTCTCAGCTCCGGATCGATCAAAACAACTGCACCTACTCCGGAAGACTAATGTAGACGATTCTATTTCACCACCCAAGCTTGAAGATGTTTTTTCAAATAGGTGGCTTTATGTACCTTAAGAGCCTACATATCTAACGTGCCAAAGCCGGTTCTGAAAGATCAGCGGTATTCCACTGAAAGACCGGTGGTGTTTTTCTATGTTTGGCGGCCATTTCTCATGGGACTGGAACATGTACCATCCCATTGACCCCTGAACCGATCCAACCCCCCGTGCAGGTATCAGCCATAAATGCGTGAAGTGCCTAGGTAGTAATCACAAATTGGAGCCGCCCACGAACAAAACATGGGGAAACCCCCAAAACTGCAGGACCTTTTGCTTTCAACTACTTTCAATTGAAGTGGTCTATGTTTCACATTTCTTGCTGCAGGATGTAGGATGCCTCTTTGAACAGTCATCCTTGAAGGCAACCAAAAGGCCGTACAAAAGGCCAACTGAGACCGACTTGAACACACCAAAAAGGCATAAAAGGGATGAACTGCTGGTGTTCCATGTTGCGACCCTCAAAACAATACCTATAGGCTCCAGTGCCAGTGAAACTTATAATTCCCTAGGGATCCACATACCTTCTCAGGAGGTACTTGGGCCCTCCAAGCCTACATAAATAGTCTCCAATCACCTTCTAAGAAGGTACAAGTACTTGGATCCCTAGGGATTATATATTACCCTAAGAATCCGGGCCCTCAAACAGATAGGGGCCTTGAGTGCCCGGACCCCTGCCATGCAACGTTTCTGACCCCTGCCGAGCCCAAGGATTCTTAAGGTACCTACAATGTTGGAAACTCCAGGGTATATGGTGGACCTACCCTTAGACTGTGGTGGATTCTGACCCTCCCTTGGATTATAAGGTCCTACCCTGGAAGTCCAGTCGTGAATTTTGGGACCCCCTTACACTGTGGTAAAATCATGACCAGGTGTCTGGGACTCCAAGACGAAGAAGAAACAGTTGTTTTTCGACCCGAAGGCCCGAAGGGACCGGAATTTCCTTTCCTTCAGGGAGTGCCACGACGATCAGCAAAACGGCACTTCATGGCACTTCTAATAAGCATGTTTTATAGATTAAAACATGTATATGATATATACATACACATATATACATACACCCTAGAAGTCCAAAGACTTTATTTGGCACCTCCGAAGTAAAGGACATTCATCTGCGATCATGTTTGTAATTATGTAGATTTTGTTTATGTGTTTTTAACGGACAATGTTTTGAATGGTCGACTGGACTCCCAAAGCATCTAACGGATTCCCCTTTTGTCCACTTCTCAACCCACCAGCTGGCGCCTCGGCAGCACTGCTGGGCACCGCTCCGCTCAGCAGCAGCAGCTCCGCCGCGGCGTCGGCGTCGCCGGCGGCGGTGCGGAGCGCTGTCCAGGCGTCGGAGGGACTGAAGCCCAGCTGTTGCAAAGCTGAAAGCTCCTCACCCGCGGAGCAAAGGCAGCAAAGGTAGCCAGTGACCGTGACTGTAGGACCCGGAAGGCCTGGGGTAACTGGGATATATAGTCGAACTAGGGCTCTTCAACCTCTGTTGGGCAGTCGGACGAAAATCGGTAGTCTGCGACCCATCCTTCGAACCAGCGGTTGGCTTCGATGGGCGTATCAAGCCGTATCCAACTTGAGTGGTGAATGTTCAGAACGACCCTGTGAATTTCAGCCGGGAAAACGCCGAGGGAACGAGGGACCTGGAGACTGCAGGGGACCGAGGGAACCAGTCTGAGTTGCTTCGGTTCTGCTTTCTATACAGAGGTGGCCTCCCTGTCAAAGTGAACATGGATGTCCAGGGGAACCAAAAGGGATTGATCCCCTCCCTCAAGAATAAATTCGCTATCCTTCAAAGAGCCTCCTGTTTGAGTGGGTTTTTCAACAACCCCTTGGGGCTCACGGTGGAGAGTCAAAAGAGGTCTATCCCTGTGGTGGACATGAGCGACCCTCACTGCATCCCGCCGCTCCTGCTCCCACTGAGGCGCCATCATCTCCTTCCTGGGCGAAGAAGGTCGCTGGCTGGAACTGTTTGAGGCACCAGTGAAGCATTTCATAGGCATAGCCCATGGCATTGCCATTGCCGCTTAAGACTTAACTTAAATAACACAAGGAAGATATTTGCGGGATGTCCAATAGGATCCTCTTCACTATTAATCTCCACACTGACACCGCTGACGATTGATCACTACAGCCACGTAATCAAGGGTGTTGCTACAACTGGTCAAACTAGTGCTTGACAAATAGACCAACCGTTGCAACGGTTGTGGGAATTTGTATCAAGTGGGAATGAAAAAACAACAAAACACACCGACCACCCCTCAGTTCTCAAGGGTGTCACCTATATGAATAGCCTTATCTAGTCTCAGGAACGTCAGGACCTCCAACTCCAATTTTGGACTAACGCTCGAAACAGGCCCAACACTCCCCCAACAAACACCAACTCCATCGGCTTCGGACTGCTGAAATCCGACCAGTTGGGGATGTAGTTGCCACGATGTCGCTGGCAACCAGTGCTTCCAAGGAGAAGCAAACCAAAGACCGAACGAAATCGCTGGTTCCTTTACTACTCGTGGCTTCCCTGCGATCCGCTGGGAGCCCAGATTACCTACAGAGGTTAAGTGACCTGAACTAGGACCCTACAGGAGTACCTATATAGGATCCTATAGGATAGTCGAACTAGGGTTCTCTGCTGGTATTGGGCCCAAGCCTCTCATGTTCCAGATTGAGCTGTTCATCGTGGAGCATGCGGCCCAAAGGTGCTGAGGGTGCCATCGTCTCGGGGTCGGTGATGGTCTGCCACATGCCTGGCCGTCCGAACTGGGGGAAGGCTGAAGACGAAGAACTCAGGCGTGTCAGGAAGGGCTGACAGGAAGGAGACTCAGGCTGACAGGAAACTTGGTGATTTCAGCGTTTCTGAACTCAGGCGTTTCTTTCCCTCCCTGCTCTGACAAAAGCTGATGCTGTTCCCTCAGCAACAGCTGATGCATCCCGAAGAAGTAGGGTCTGCAAGTGTCTGAAATGCCGGCAATAGGACCACCATGGACCTATATACATCCGTGCATGCTGGCACAGTCTTGACACATGATGATGAAGACGAAGACGAAGACGAAGGCGACAATGATGAGGATGAGGCGGAGGAGGAGGAGGAGGAGGAGGATGTGCCTAGACTCGTACTATGAACCATCATCCACGGCTTCCAGCACAACCTGCAACCAGGGCCCCAAAGGAAAAGTCGCTCCACACAGGCTAAACCTTCAACCGATCAACATGATCAATGCTCTACTTCAGCTACTAGGGGCTCCTGGCATCGCTACTAGGAGCAAGGACGCTAGTAGGTTGGAGGCCATTGCCTAGCTTCACCTCTACCATTTTCACTCTTCACCTCACCGCTGCTCCGGATTCGCGAGCCGGCCGGCTGGCGAATCCGGCTCTGCGCTGCCTTTCTTCTGCATGTTGTTCGGGTAGAAGAAGACCACCAGCGTAATCCGACCTTCCGAGATCCTTAGGAATTGGTGAGGGTATGTGAGGGTGCCAGATTTGCTCATCTAGATGCTTGGAGGAAACAAAAGCGTTCCGAGATCCGTAGGAATTTGGCTGGGTTTGGAGGTCTTGATGACACCCATCTTGGATCTAATCCACCAAACATGGTGTAGGAATTCCACCAACGAAGGTTGGATCCTGACTATGGAACCCATCCACCAATCTAGAACCAGCCATGAGCATCCAAATGCTCCAATGGACTATACACTACTCTACACTACTCTACACGATTTAGGGATCTCCATTGGACACGGTCTCAGGTGCGTCTTGAAATAGGGAGACCCCCCCCCAGTCGGACCACGGACCACTGAGAAAGAGGAGAAAATCAACCAAACCTGACGACTCGGAGGGTCCTCTGACGACTCATAGATCCTAATGGACCGGATGGAAGGCCGTGTGGCCCCAAGTGCGGCCTTCCAGAGTTCTCAAGCTGGATTAGTGGCTTAAAACCCTTTCAACAAGTATCCGTCAACTGGGCATGAATGTGCCCAAATAGGAAACACAGACCTGACACCAACTGGCGCCAGGGATCCTGAAAACACCAACTGGCGCCAAGGATCTCTGGCATGACTGGTACCCCATGCCTCTGGGTGCCAAAGATACACAGGTCGCCATCCTGCATGAGCAGTGGCGTGTTGTCGATCGTCAAGATCCGCTCGTGGCCGAAGCTGAACAACGCCGTCCAGCAATCATGGCGATGACTCCCTAGGTATCCTTGACCTAGGTGAGCTTGAGCGAGTCGAGTGTGTCCCAAAAACACATATATAATTCTTGCCTTAATTTCGGGGTGGGCCAGGAAAAGGGAACACAAACTCACCAAACCAGCTTTCATCCACACATGTCACAATTGCAGCAGAGTGACCATCAGGATACCAGTTGGTGATAATCCCGGACGTCCTATCCGCAATGCCATACTCAACAAAGAGCTTCTGGAGGACTTTATCCGTTGCGGGTGATAAGCCCTGGCGATACTTTCCAGCTTGATGTCCTTCCCAACGGATGTTTCCTCGTTGGTCGTACTTCAAGTGGTAGGCGCCAGTGGCAAAATCGCGGGTGCGAGCATTGTTGGCTTTCCACTCCTAGCTTTCACAAAGGAAGAACCCCCCTACACCCACCTCCCTGGAAGGTAAGAAGCCTGCGCCCAGAGCCCAGTGCCTACCGCCCCGTGCCTCGACTCTAGATCGACGCACGGGAGGAACGTCTGTTTCACGATTCGTGGCCGTGTTTCGAATTATACTTATATAATGTGTTTTCAGATGTTTCATGGAGGTGTTCAGGCCTTTGACATGAAGCCTAGACTTGCGTCATTAGTGTTCAATCGTTTTCATACAGTAGTCAGACAGGGTGACAGGGTTGAACAAACGATAACAAACACGTATCCCAGGCGACCATCAGCCTAGACTCTGTGTTCTGCAGGATCTCGTCATAGATGCCCGGATCGTCCGCAAACTTGCGTTTCCTCGATTGCTGCTCCATGCTCAAGCACTCCACGTATGGCATATATATATACACATACTGCGATGCTTTAGGATGCTTTAGGGACAATATGGCTCGCATCCATATATATCCGACTACCAGGAACAGTGGATGATGATGCGTAGTAAAGACTTGACTCTTTAAAATAGTGAGCATATGTTACTAACTGCTACTGGTAACGGGAAACGCTCTATGTTTGTGTATACATGCATGCATTGCATACATATTTACATTACATAACATTGCAAAGCATTCCATAGCATTACACCACATTACATGCATGACATACATAGAATACATCACATACATCAATTCCATTCCTAATTCCATTCCATTCCATTGCACCTATACATACAAGTCTGGGCTGGGCACCACCACTTGGGAGTCCCGCAGACCGGTCCGGAACCGAGCCCCGGACCGGTAAACGGTCGGCAACGGTCGCCTTTGGAAGCACATCATATAGGGGTCACTGGATCCCCCCAAATCCTTTGAGCGTCAGCCCGGCCGACTTTCGATGTTTTTCGGAACAGTGCTCTTTTGGGGGACATCGCCCACATCGGGGCGATGCCATACACTCCGAGGCACTAACACGGAAGTGGAGTTCACCACTGTTTTTTTTTTGGTCTTTGGTCATCCAACAGACCACGCCATACACTTCCGTACTTCTTTCAGAGAGTGTATTATAGTCTGCAACATCCCGGCCGGATGTTTTCACCTGTCCCAAGAAAACTCAACAAAACCATGACACCACTTTTGGATCGCCTTTTTCCCAGTCGTGGAGAACACAAAAACGGGTCGCGACTGTCCATGGGCAAGTGTCACCTCCACATCGCGCCACCATGTGGCGGTATCCTGCACCGAGTCCTCCGTCATGGTGGCGCCGTTGGTTTGACCAACTCCGTGATTGTTGCGGCCCATGTCTTTGGTCAAATATTCCTCGGGTGCGAGCCGATGTGACGTGGGACATGCGGAACTCGTGGGGACGTGGTGTTTTGGCTAGATATGAAAGGTCACTGGAAGATCGATACACAGTACTTAGCTTGAGAAAAAGGGTGCCTGTTTGGAAGCCTTTGGAAAGCTGATGTCCTACTTTGTGACTTTGCGGCCTCCAAAAGGAAGAGCTCCAAATTTCCAATAGGACTTCTTCCCAAGAAGTACGCCGGCAACACTTTACGAAACATGCCAAATGCCAACGGAACACCTGCTTGGGGGATCCTAGAAAAGCGGCAAAAACCACAAACAACATGGTTGACCGGCCCAAGATTCATGCACGCCCCATGGTCTCGGAATCTCTTTCACCTCCTTCCTGAGCTGCGGATTCATGCGCCAGAAAAGATCGTTTCAACAACTAGTCTGACAGATTCTGTGAACAAGAAAACCCAAGTGTTCTACCCGGACAGTTGCTAGCAGCACCTACATGAGTGAGTCCAATATGTCAATATGTATACATATATGATATATTATGTATACATATATGATATATATATATATTATATGTCCACACTGGTCCACACTGTCCATTTGCTGCTCAAAGGGTGGACTGCAGTAGGCATAAGGCTGGAGCGGCTAACTATTCTGGCCGAAGACATGTTATATCCTTAGGTGCTCAAAGGACCAATAATATGTGCATGTTTTTAAGGTATATATTTAAATAAACATTATAAATCTATAATTGAAAAAAAAAACGAGGACCATGAAATAAACAAACAGGATCGTGGTTCTGATGTACTCTGACCTTTATCGTCCAAAGGGCTGTGGAAACCACGGCCTTTCTTCAGGGGCCGGTCTTGTGCAGCCCTAGGCCACCAAATACCACTTATGAGGGGTATATTCATAACATATACTAGTCACTGCCTCACAATGAAGATGGAAAGAACACATTCCCATCACAGTTTTTGCGTGACCCACACAGCTTTCATGGTTGAGGGATTTCACGGTTACATCACGGTTACCTCACGGCCTTTACTGGTATTTGGGGGGCTTATGTGGTTTTTGAGGTGCGTGTTCACTGGTACATCACGCTCACTTCACGGTCCCGGGTTCTCACCTCAATTGTTATGGAGAAGAATTATGGAGAAGAAGAATTTGGATGGTCTCCTAAGCACTCAGTTTTGAATAGTTATATCAGCGGTACCTGGGAGGCCTTTGATATGCTGTTTTGGGAAAGTAGGACCGGGGCTGCCGATTCTGGAGCCGAGGAAGACCAAGGTGATAGTCTGACAGTACAGAATCCAAAGTTCCACAAACAACTATGCAAATTTGATCACCAATCCCCAGCCTCTTCAATTTTTTACCAAATCTTTGATTGCCGATTCGCAAAATACAAACATCTAGTATATGACCATTGTTTCGGTATCTGCGTCTCTTCTGGGCTAGTGTGACCATGCCCCAACACTACATGGTATGCATTTTATATAACCTCCATGGTTCGTGGTTGATTTCAGGGACCCAAACAGGTCGCGTCCAGACCGGGTAGGGTTCGGATGAGTTCTTGGGTTGATCAGGCTTGTCCCTTTCGTGTGGTCCTGCTGTCGTGATGGAAGATCAATCAGGTCATGTTCATTCTATTCATGTCATCGTCCCTGCTGAGAGCAAGCAGCCAAAATGAACTAGAGCGACCGGCAGTGGCAAAGTGTGGCTCAGTCTTGCACGTGAGAAAGGGATCAAGCTGAGTCCTAGCAAGTCGCTCAAGAAAGCTGAGCAATGCTAAGCACCTGCGAGCTTCTGCCACCACTTGGCCACAAAGCGCTCGGAACGCCCCAGAGCATCAGCAATCGCGGCCTTTTGGAGGCCTTCCTTTCGCAAATGGATGGCACGAAGTCGATCTTGATACCTCGGCTCTTGTGCTGGAGCCTAGCCGAAAAAAGAATCACCCCGAGCCCCTCAAGACGTTGGGTTCAAATCCTAGATTTAAGTCTTCCGGATTTGCTCAAAAGATTGTTTGGACATAGGAGATCTGAGGGGTTGGAACCCGTGAAGAGCCGTGCCAAAGAAATGCAAGCACAGAAGTCTTTGCCATGTGATCTCGTGAGCTGGCGTGGCGGCCTGTGAGATCTATCATGAAAGGAGCTGGGCCTTTTGGATTCTTTTGGATCCTTTTGGATCTAGGGGAAGAACTGGGAATCACGAAGCCACTAGTACTGGCCACTCCTGGCCATATAACTAAGGCCAGCTACGAACGGGGCCGGCATCGCTACGAACGGGGGGCGCTCCTAGCATCGGTGTGACTCTCCAGTTCGCAAAATCGGAACCGGGCAGCACCGGACTTCTGGGAGATTCCGGAGTGGCCAGATCAGCGGAAGGGAAGCAAGTCCGGAGACCAACAGAGGTGGGTCAGGACCCTATAGACTATCCTCAGGGCCTCCCTGGATCCTCAGGTCGGCATGGTGCCTCTTGACCGTCCTCCGCCGTCCCCCAGCGGAACGGAGACCCGCTCGACCGAGGCGAAGGTGCTCCTTGTGCCCCTGAGAGGAGTTTTGGGCGAAGAGCCCTTCAGCCTGGAAGTGCTGCTGATCAAACTCGGTCACCTCGCCAGGGCGTCAAACGGACGGACGGCGTCAAACGGACCTTGACCTAGCACTGAAAGAGTGCAAATCATTGGAGCAACGGTCCCACCGATCTCATTCTCAAGTAAAGGCATGTGTGTGACATGGAAGACCCTCGGCCCCCTCTGCTGCTGGAGATATGCATCCATGTGCCTGTGGCCATCCTGCAAATGCGCCATCCCGGGCCATCCTAGACTCATCTGGCCCAAACATCCAACCATCCCAACTCCATCCCAAACCAACTCATCTCCTGGCCGCTCCCGCAATGTCCCCCACACCTCCTCTCGTCCTTTGAACTGCATCCACTTGTACGTGCGCAGTACTTGTCGCTCTGACCTCGGAATGATCGGAACAAGTTCCGCTTCACTTGCGACCCACGAAACAAAAGAACCACCAGGAGTCACAAGACGGGATGCTTGGTCATGGAGGGTGCCGTCGGGGTGCCCAGGGTCCACTCACTGGGTGGGACTAAACACCACCCCGAGCGACATGTGACTCCTGGTGTGCTTTACAGATCTTGGATCGAGCAGATTCTGGAAAAACCCATCGGATGAAATTCTCATATATGCTTTGCATGACCTCAGGCTACATTTGGCCAAGAGGCTGGGAGCTACTCGGCGGTGAGCCCCGCCGCACCCCAAAGGCTTCATCCAACCGCTGCAAGGGCGGCATGGGCGGCAAGAGTGAGTTGCCGGCTTTATGAGAGCCAGCTTGGGAGTCTGAGAGTGAGAGGTTGCTTCAACTACTTAGGCCCTAGGCGACTTAGTAGCTATTTAGGTAGTGATTGTCTCAAGCCTTCTAGGAGGCAGCCACGACAGCCGCGGCCGCGGCTTCTACTGTACGGTGTTTACTTGTTCTGAAAGGAATACTACTGCCAATAGCCAATAGCAATCAAGTTGCTAACACATCTTACTCTTACACTCTCCGCGGTGCTCTTTCCACTTTCTCTTGCTGGTTGGGAATTTATCTTCCCTCCTTCCTAGCCAAAGCTGGCAAAATGTCTTGTGCGAAAACAAGAGAGGCTACGTCTTTGGAGTCGGTGCGGAAGCGCCAGGAAGCTCAAGGAAGCACCATGACACAATGAATTTCATGCATGAACTCAGCGTAAGAATCACCAACTACAAGTTGTTTGCAAGCATCACCAACTCGCTGAATGATTGATTCACAAAACTACAGCAATCATCTTCTCCAATTCACCCCTTCTCAAGCTAGTGCCATCTCATTCAGCTTCTGAGCGGCACCCGAACATTATATTCTGCTGACGTCATCAACAAACCCCAAGTGTCCCAGCACTTCTGCCTGAAAGCCACCGTTCTTGGTCTGCTTGGCACACAGGACCACCCACGTCAGTGCGTTTCACTGTACCCCGAACAAACACCGCCGAACTCACGGCTGCGACGCGAGGGGTTCTCGGGTTGCGGGCGTTCCACCCGTCGCTCACATGGCTCGGTGCCTGTGGCCATGCGCCATGACGATCCAGGCAAAAGCCAGCTAGACCTCAAACAGGTCCGTTTGAAGCACGAGGAAAAGGACACAAAATGTAACAATGGTGAAGCTGTTGGCTTGGGTCAACCTCACACCAAGGCCAACAGAAGCCGTGGGGTTACCCTGTGTGTGGGGTGGTATGATTTGGACCCTCAGAATTTACGCAAATGCAAGCCCTTAAGGATTGAACAAAATCGACACTTACATGGCATCTTCAACGTTTCTTTGCTACTGCTGCCGCTTGTTGGGAACCACGAGCAAACTGGTAAGCAATGTCCAAACTGTATCAATCCCTACAGAATCTCATGCCCTGATCCTTCTGAGATTGTTTGGTTTTTTGCTCCTCACGACCCTCCCAACTTGGGTGCGGTGATCTTCGAGATTGCCGTCCCCCTGCGTCGATCAGCATCTGGGCCAGTGACGCACAGCAAGCCTTGCCGTTGACGCCTCTCCGCGTCAAGAGAAGGGGCTGGGAGATGCCCAGGTGCACAGGTGGCGGTCAGGATGTTACCTAGAGTCTATATCCCAGCTTCTTCAGTACGTGACCTTTTGAAGGTTGCTAAGTGACCCTGCTCGGAGGCTTGTTCGTGACCGAACCAACCAGGTGATCAAGTTCGGTCACTTTGAAGAACCAGGTCCATGTACGTACGGCATATTTACCTATATACATTGGGGTGGTTTCAGGGGTCAATGTAGGCCTCTCACCCTCTCTCACCCGACTCGAAAGGCTCACCTTTTTGCTTCACATTCCACCGGAGAAAGCGGCCGCGCCCAGCTTCCGTGTTTCGCTCGGCCGGTGAAAACCGCGGGTGTCGCTCCGCTCGGGCGCGGGTGGAGCGACAGTCCGTGATGGTGTGCATGTGGATGGTGCTCTTGCGGGAGAGTCCCTCGTTGCCCATAAACCCCCAGGGTTCCAACCACCTCCTGAGAAGATGGTTGGGGTGGGTGGCAGGGGGGTCTAACCACCTTCTGAGGAGATGCCCTAGGGAATAGGACCCTACTGGGGGATCTATAGGATAGCCAATAGGCATCTATATATAGGCCTTAGAGTTCTTTAACCTCTGTTGGCATTCCTGTCTTCAAGCGGACATCACTCTCTCCGGCACCGGTGACAATTCTTCGGAAGGTCCGCCAAAAGGACAAAATGCTCTTGGGACAGACTTCGCACCAGCTTAAAGGGAGATCCTTTCAACAACAACTCCTGACTCTACCTTGAGTGGAAGGAGTCCAAGAAAGTCTGCCCCAAGCCCTGAGCAACCACCAAGCCCTGAGTGACGGCCTGGTGTGTAGATCAAACCTGGATCTTCCAACCAGCCAAGAGACCAACATGTTGCCAGGAGATCCAGGAAAGAAACCTGCACAAACCACTTGGCTCTTGGCTCTGGGTCAAACTCACTTGACCATGAGCTGTCACACCATGGGCTGTCTACAAGTAGAGACAGTCCGGTGATGAGTTCACCCCTGACCAGTCCAGTTCTTCAGTACACTCCGAGTAAGAAGACGCACTTCTCGATGCACCTGGCACTGAGTCTTGTTTCGGACCCAGGCTTCGTGGGAGCAGGCTCCGCGCCAGGGTTCGGTGTTTGGAGTGAGCAAAGGAGAGCTTGGCCTTTCGTCGCCTCACTACCATGGAAGTGGATGGCATGGTCACGAAAGGAAGACGACTTTCCTCCTACGCTTCCATCTGGGTTGAGCTCCGCTTCCATGTGATGGAGCAGAACGGAGTGACTCCGACCATCCCTCAGCTCAGGGCCAACATCAAAGGGCCTAACAGGTCAAGCCAAGTGGAGGCCTGGGAGGTCGGGAGGTCTGGAAGGTCTCGGAGGTCTGGAAGGCATGATTCAGGAGTAACATCGGCCCGGAGCGTTTGGGCTGACCAGTGCAAGGATTTCTGGACATGAGCAAAGAGGAAGTGAATTGAGTCTTGATTTGATGATGACCCCAAGGAAACACACATGTTGTAGACCACACTAGACCACGATATTCATCCATGAGGGCTTTGAGAATCCGGTTTCAACATGCTGTTGCCTGTAGCCAATTACCGTGATTCCACTTGTTGCAGAAAAAACGCAATGAGTACATAAATGATGCACAAACCTAACCTTTCGGGTCATCCAGAGATTGATCCGCTTTGTCCAGGAAGAACCTCATCTTATTCCTAAATAATCCTATAATCAATGATAATTAATGTTTGGACTCTTGATTAATAAACTCCATATAAAGAGGCTTTCCAATTCAAATGGGAGGGTTTATGTATATACCTCAAGAGTCTACATTTAGTCTTCTCAGATGCTCCAAGTCATCAATCTCATCGACTTCTTTCGCCTTTTTCGGGTCTCCACGTACTGCGGTGGTTCGCGCCTGTTGAGCGACGGAGCACTGTACAAACCGTCTCAGACTGTCGGTCTCCCGCTTGCGCGGCGACATGAAGGCTGGCTGATCGACACTGCACGCAGAACCGGGCGAATCAGCTGATGATTCAAAGATCGATCTAGGTCACAACTGGCTATGACACACACACACACACACCTGCAGCCGAAGGAGAAGACCCCAGATTGAACTTCCGGACATGATTTCAATCACATGCTGCTGGTTTTCACGGTCTTTTCCTCTTTTCATTGTCGCTGCTACGGGTTCGCGCGCTTAAGTGGTGCTGCGCAACTTGCTACGGCCAAAGACGCTCACTTGGGCCGTGACTTGGACATCATCATCTTCAAAGCTTTCTGGAAGGTGCAGCTGCCATCTCGGCCATGGGATGGGGATGGGGTCCAAACGTGACAAGTGAGGTCATTCATGGTCATCCAAATAGTGACAGCGTGTGATCACTGCTGTCACAGGAAGTGATAACACACGGCAACCATCTTTGCAAAGGAAGTTCGATGGCCCGTTGGAAAATACTATCATCGATCATCATCCAACCGGAATCCGTTGTTCGTTCCCTTCCAGGGCCCCCTAAGAAGCGTAAGAAGGGTCCAATAATTCGCTCCTTAGAGGTGAACATGGGTGTCTATTAACCACCCCTCGCACCTCCTGGCAGTGGGGGCCCTAGTTCGTCTCTGGTTTTTGTTCATGTCCCTTGTGGTCCGGGCCTCGATGCTCGCCGGGCACCTCCTCCGGGATCGCCTCCCGCGGCTGATCCGCCTCAGGCGCAGGTTCGGGGCCCACCAGCGCCAGAAGCTCCAGGGCGTCCTCCTGGGCGGGACAATGGGACTTGGCACACTGGACCTAGAAGGAAATTGAAGATGACTCAAATGACATGATCTGGTTGGTGGTTTCAACTCACTTCAAAACAATGAGTCGAGTCAGGTCAATGATTCTTCTGGAAGATGCTCCACACAGTGGGATATGGGTTTTGGCCTTTAATGGGCTTGGCCCATTAAGGTCTAAAGGTGTCTAAGAGCTGTGATCCCTCCGCCCAAGCTCACTCCCTGTCACCTCCTCCAAGGCTTTCTGGAACTCTGCCTCCTTCGAGAGCTTCTCAGTGCCCATGACGAGCTCCAGCCGGCGCGGCGAGGTCCTCATCTGCTTGGCGCACCTGGTCCGCCATGGCGCCGATGTGGCGTTTCCACCACGCGGCACGGTCTCCAACAAGGGTTTCACTATCCCAGACACTCCATGTTTGGCATATTTACCTACATTGGGGTGGTTTTGGGGGTCAATGTAGGTATATATGGCATACATGGAGTGTCTGGGTATAGTGGGCTAGCCTTATAGTGGGGCACGTGGAGTCAGTGAGTGGATCCCCTCAATCTTCCACCAAGCAGCTCATGCAGCACGTCGACCAAGTGTCCCAGGCCCTTCTTAGGCGCTGAGAAGACCAACTTTCCTGCCAGACTTCGTATGTGCAGCGCTTCTCCGGGAGCTTCTGTGACCTGTGCGTCGACCCTTGGAGGAAGCATGATCAAGCGCAAAAGGAAAACAGTCAAGCTTTGATGGACTTACCCCAGCAGTTGCCCTGCTTGATGGTCAAAACCTGACATTCTCAACGAGGAGACTTGAGTTGAGAAGGCGTGAGTGCTTTTTCTTGGCCTCCGCCCCCCCGCCCTTTGTCGTCTTCGACCAGTCGAGAAGCAAAAATCATACACGCACAATCACACACAGCTCGTACTGGGGTCATCATTTCGGTGTATGTTGGGGTTAGGCAAGAGGTGAATTTCAGAGTAGAGGGCCACACATGCCTGCACTGTAGGTACAGTAGCCTTCCGTTCGACCATGAAAAGCTGACGGTTTTTCAAAAGTCGTTGCTAGATCCTTGCTATAGACAGAATTCCTCGACCCGCCTTTGGGGCTACAACTCCTCACCCTTGATGAACTGTATACTTTGGGTCTATCCTGATACCTGGGCCCAACTGGCCCAGTGGATGATGATGGTTAGGTGGCAGGCCTTGCTCAAAAATCGTATCTTGTTTACTGACTCTTACAGGTAAGTTCCGGACAGACCCATAGCATGTATACTGCAGATTCGAATGTCGACTACCCGGTCCCCTTTAGGTGAGTCACGTCCCACCGACTCAACCTCTCACCCACTCGGCGCCTCCTCCGAGCTCACCTCCAGCTCCTCCGGAGTGCGACGGTCCGGCTCTGCAGAGGGGCGACCACGGAGGAACCGCGTCAGAGGACACCAGGTGCCTGGCAGTGGGGATGCAGGGAAGAAGACCAGGTCGCCCTCCTTCTGACCATTCAAAGACCAAGTAAACAGAGTGAATAGTATATAGGCTTGTTGATTCATGATAGCATATGGTAAAATCCTTAGGTACAGTTAAACAGGTGGCTCCGTAAAAGGGGAGATTAAATCTGGAAGCCTAGGGTCCGGAAGTTACTAGTAACACGACGGGCATCGCTACTATTACTAACACGGGCGTCGCTACTCATCGCTACTCATGTGTTTCCTTTAGAAAACTAAAGGACGGCGGCCGAGCCGTCACCCTCTTCGAGCCGAGGGAAGTGCATCAACTCCAATGGCCTCTACTTGGCCCGAACGCGACGTGAACCGTGCTCGTTCGAACGCGATGCCCTTTGATACTATAATAGCAATGAAGTCAATTTCATCGCATTCGAGGCCCTTTTCATTTTAAACGAGGGCCTAGCCCCAAGGGTTCAAGGGTTCAAGCCCCAAGCCCAAGTAAGAATTTAAGAATTTGTGATGTCAATATCCTAATGTCATGTAATGTTAATTCATGGATCTCTTCTGAAATGCATGGGGCATGAGGCACTCATCCCACTCATCCCACTGTCACCCCACCCCTTCACACTATCCACGCCTTTCCTCGCAGTCAGTCGATTTGATCACCATTTGCCCAGCCACGCTGGACATGTTCTGGTCCAAGATTTCGCGATTTGAACCGCGTGCGTTTTCAATCTAAGATTGAAACATTTCCCCAGCAAGCCATCAAGGCATAAACAAACAACAATGTGACTTGAAGCATTCTTGAAGCTGCATTAAGCCAAAAGGAACGAAGAAAACAAGAACTTTCCTGTAATTAGATGGTTGACCACCATCCATGGCTTGACCACCCAAACACAAAGGGTCATTTCAAGGGTCATTCGAGCTCATTGCTCGAGCTACAGAAGCCTCACAAAAGAAGTCGCGTTCAGGCTCATGGAACGTCGAAGAAAGTATAGTGGCTTACCTTAGCGCAAACGATTATGTTCTCTTGGTCTAGTCTAGTCTGGTAGTGGTAGTAGTAGTGAGTAGTCATAGTAAGTAGTAGCAGTGGAGTAGTCCTATCAAACAGTCTGGACCTTTGGCCTTTGACTGATGCATCATGGCTGGGCAAAGCGGCGAGGCATAAGCTCCTGGGAACGGGGTGGGTGGGTGGGTGGGTGGAGGGGGCATCTACAAGCTAAGTCATTTCCATACAACAGTCCTGATCTGCCTTCATATAGGCCATGCGCCAATACCGAACTAGCACAGGGCTTGCATCGAGCACCTCCAAGGTGACACCATAGTTTGGGATAGTTTGGGGAGAATGATCAAAGAACTTGACAAAACCCTGCCTCACGAGGGAAGGCTGAAGCACATGTTGAGAACTTGTGCCCAGTGCTGACCCATGTGTAGCTGAACAATGGGACGACGTTGTTGGGTTTCACGATGAAGAAGTCATCTAGCAAAGCAAAAAACACTATTATCTCATGTTGCACAGTAACAGTAGTGGATTGAATTAAGTTGAATTGAACCAATCTTGAGATTATTTGTTGATTGAACTGAACACCTGCCTTCTCCCGCAGTCTGATCTTGGGTCCCTGCTCGGGCACAGGAATGTCCCATGATGGAGGTATCAACGATACCTTCATCTTCCATTTCCTGAAATAACTTCCTCAAGGGGCACAATTCTGAATCACTGGTCGCCTTCGATGTTTCGCTCTGGACTTCCAGAATCATGTGTGGGGTGTCTGTTGTAACCTTGAAGGGAATTGTTGTCGCCAGGGCATCTCCTGGCAGAAACATTGCCAATCGAGAACTATAGTATCTTATAGTTGGTGACGAGTTATGGTAGTGTGGTGCTGTGCTTTCAGCTGGTGTGGAGACACTGCAAGCTAAGTGCATCGCAGTATTTTTTTCAACGCTTCGACTCTCGGTGGTCCAATCTAATGAACACCAGTCTACTGTAGGTATGACAGTACCCCCTGGTCCCAACTATGTTTCACCGATGTCTCCTATTTCTATAGAACTAACAGAGCCAACATACACAAAACAACGTGAAGGACTTATCAAAGAGTACTAAATACACCATAAGTTGTAATATCATAGTGTTCAACCCTTGTGTGGTGCAGTGGCTCTCAAAATCAAAACGTCATGCTGGAATGGCCTCACATTCAGGCCTTCTCAGCACTCTTAGTCTTGCGCGGCGCCTTGGCCGCAGACTGAGCCGACCTTTTGCTTGGCACTGGGTCCCTTTTGCTTGACCCTGAGTCTGTCAAAGCACGCTTGCTCCGCTCATTTGGGGTCATGTTCTTGATGCAATTCAAGCGCATAGGATGGTCGTGCCACCTGGGTTTCAAGTAGGGCAAGGATTCACCCTGTTACACCGATGTGAACCACACCACATGGTGAGATATATGGTGAGCTAGGTAAAGAAGTAAGTACTACAGATAAGACTAGATCCAGAAGAAACAGGGCCTGACTTTTGATAAAATTTCAGATGAGGTACGCCATTTTGGCCAATTTCAACACTTCTCTTGCTGAAAGCTCTGGGTTGTCACGCTTGATTTCTCGCTGTTTCTGGTGAACCACCTGCCAAAACAAATCCCGCATAGTTCCAGCTGCTGCTTCCTCAGCCTCACCCTCACCCGCATCCTTTGGAGTAGGCTCTGGCTTCTTGGTATTCTGAGTCTTCTTCCCCTTCTTAGGTGGAGGCGATTCCCCCAAACGCAAAGTGGGAGAGTTTCCACCACCACTTGACAGCTCCTCTTCAGAATCCAAGGCGTTCTCCGACTCAACCTCCTCTGGGACCTCCTCGGGTTCCTGGTGTTTGACACATGGCGGTCTAAACCCAATCACATTCAATTCAATTTCTCAACCACAAGTCAACAGACTAGGTGAAAGGAGTAGGCTGCAGTATTCAAATCCCTCCCAGGCCTGGCCTCGACCTCCTTCGCTTTGGATTTGCGCTTTGGAGCGGCAGCAGGCTCAGGGGACAGGTTGTGGAAAGGAACCAAAAACAACTAAAGCAGGTAGCAGCAAGCTGCAGTGAAATCTTCTCCATTGACAATGAGGGCATAAAGAAAAGAAACGATTCTCACAATATAGTTTTTTTTGCAATAATACTGACTGCCTACTATGAGCTCTGAACCTTTCGGCCTTGCGCATCTTTCGCTTTGGCTTTGCATCCTTGGCCCTGGCTCCTTTCACCTTGGTTACCTCGGTTCCTTTCCCCTTGGACTCCTTTGGAACACCAGTACAACGAGTTGGCAATGATGCACTTAGTGCTTGAGCCGCTGCTTTTGCTGCACTTTGGTTGGCTTTCCTAGAGTCTTTCTTGTTCTGATTCACCTGTTGCAGACCTTCTGCGATCTGACCTTTCAGACCACTGATAGCTTCAGAAGACAGAGTTTTCTTCTTATCACTCCCACCCTGCACAGGCGCTGGCGCTGGCTTGGCGGTCTTCTCTGCCGATGACCCAGGGGAAGGGCCAGCGCGCTTCGGCAAGGGGTTGGTAGGGCTCGGATTCGGGACCTGAACACAATTCACTTTTAGTGGTTTTTTGCTCTCGTGCTTTCTTATTGCAATGAGCCCCGGACGATAGAACCACTGGGTGTGGTGGCAGCCTCTGGGCTGCGATCCAGCATGGCATCCAGGTCCTGGTGAAGGACAGTTCCAGGGAAAGGGAACATATTGAATTGGGAAAGTGGAGACTTAAAGTAGAGGTAGAGAGAGAACAGAGGTAGAGGTAGTTGTCTTGGAACGGTCTGGTTTGCATAATAGATTGATGTTGATCCTGCCTGTTTGAACCCGTGCTGGGCCAAGATAGCGCTCAGACTGTGTGCGCCCGACATTGCCGCAAACAGGTAGCTGACTCCGTCTAAATTTGATAACAAACCAAATTGCTGAGGCACCCACAAGTTGTCACAAGTAGACTTTGAGCCACTGTGGATCCAACAACTGAAGCAATTAGACTTGGATCAGAGTCAAAGCACAAACAGGTCAGCTGACCTCCTGCCGTATTCTCGCGGATTAGCTTGGCCGCTCGGTCGGCTTTCATAAAGGTAGACTTCCCATGGGCAATGAGCCATTCCTTCTCATCGATCTCCAAGTCCTCATGGCAAGCCTTGGGGCCCACAAAATAATCAACGAAAAAACATGTTGGCTCCCCAGAAACCACCCAGAGACTTGTCACAAAAAAGGTTTTTGTTAGCTTCTACCCCACTGGGAAAATGTAAGAACAGTCGAGGGTCCATGAAGAGTTTCCACTTTTGCCCTGGTACGCATTCCTCCACCTTCCCTGAACGATCAGCAGCTGGGGTCAAGTATAATGTCGTCCCAGGCAACTTTCCTGGGAACTTGTTCTCCACCAGAAACTGGTCCAACAACTCTTCAAGACTGGACGGGCCCGAGGTCCATGGAGCTGGCCCTGATTCCGCTGCGGTGTCTTCTGCAGGCACGATGGCAGATGATGGCTCGACCCCACTTCCGCAAAACCTGGTGAGAAAAGAAGACCCACCTGTTTACCAATCGACTCTAAAGAACAAATCCCCTAACTGTGCATAAAGGGTTGTTTGCAGTCAGCTGACTTGGAATCGAAATCAAGGATGAGTTCTCGCCATTTTGGAGCGAACAATGGGTCGGAAAGATGCTTGGCCCTCACCTCATTGCTCAAGTGGACCTTGAAACGGGCCCAGCCTTTCAACTTATCATCGACAGTGATCGATGCCATTTTCAATGAGCACTTGTCGATGTCGATGGACTCAGCTGGCGGAGGTCGGGGATCATAAGGCCGTGTGTCGGCAGGTAGCAATTCGCCTCCAGCCTTCCAATCCTGCGCGCACACGTATGCACACACACTCGAGAAACCTCATTCCAGATTCCAGACCCCAAGACTTACTAGAAAAACCAAACTTCTAGTGGCCAGCTGGTGAGTGGAGAACGTAAAACGAACCCTGAACATACTTCTAGGTATTGCCCTGTTATATGGCCTCCATCACGGCCAACGCCACTGTCTTCTCAGTGTAGGCTGTCAGACCCATATCTGTTGAGACAGAAAGCGAGGTAATGGTGCGATCGGGGTGGTCAAGGTGCCACTTCATGGTGGCAAGTTCCAAGCTTCCCTCATAGGCGCTCAAATTCAGAACTCCAAGCTTCTCACCAACCGAAGACTCTGCCAGGAGGGATTCGATCACAGTACAAGGCAAGGATTCGCCGGTCAGGAGTTGAGCGCTCTCTTGCAGGGGGCTGAGAGCCCTGGCAAACCAAGAGAGGTATATAGCAACATCCAACCCAGTCAACCCAATAAAACTAAGTAAGTCCTTTCTGTTCCATTGGGTTCTCAGTGCTGTACGGGTCCTTTAAGCAAATTTATCCAACATTAGTTCAGTAAAGCTTTATCAGGCCTTGTCCCCTCAGCAGCTGACGGCAATGAGTCCTTCGAACTTGGCACCACATACTGACTCTCCGGTGCGAATCGTAGCAAGCCGTGGGTCGACCTCCAAATTGAAGAGCATTGAGAAACCCCACGCATGAACGATATAATGTATAGTTCATAAAACGTTTACACTGGTATGCAAGAACTTTATAGCACGTTTGTTGTCGCAAGTGGAGTAACAGCTAGCCACTTGCCTGCTCTGGAGTAGTTGCGATTGACCCCACACATTCGTTTCCACGCTCCCGTGGACGAAGATGCACCATGCCGGAAATACCAATTGGACCTTTTTCGTAGATGGTGCATTCTCGCACCTCAGAAATACAGTCTCGGTCTTCATGCCCTTTGCCTCGAGCTTATCTTCAATCCTCCTGTGTATAATTTGTTTCAAACGTATTTAAAAGTCAGAGTCTTGGGAAACCTCTTCATGCTACACAATAAACAGTCCAGTGAAGCTCCCAACCACATTGTGTTAGCTACAGGACCCTGGGACCCTGGGTTCAGTCCTCAGCTCTGATGTCAGCCCTGACCGTCGCTCACTGGTCAGGTGCGGAGCGATGGCAAATCCAACTGCTCGTTCAGGCAAGGCAGACAGGGCCTGCGCAACAAACCCCACTAGGTTGTTGAGGTCTACATTCGTGACACGGCCGTACTTCATGAAGTCCAACCAGCAAATCATAGGTGTTCCATCAGCTGCCAGCTTCGAAGTGTACTCAGGGTTGTGATATTGAATAGGTCTTGAGGGCACAAAGCAATAGATTACAAAACAAAATAGACAACCCGCAGGAGGTCAAAGCTAAGTAATACCTTCTTGGGTTTGGTTGGGTTTAGTTTGATGTTCGTTTGCCAGTTTTACCCTGGTGTCCTTGCCAATCGCGTCTTTCAAGTCACTCAGAGGGCCAGCGATGTGCTTGGATCTCTCTTCCATGAACTTCGTACAGATGGAACCCCCAATCGCATTTTGTTGCTTGAGATGCGCCACCTTCGCCAGGCGCTGGGCGCGCTCGCCTTGGGCCTGCTGCCTGTAGAGGCCGGCAAGCTGGGTGGCGTCCCTCGCAAGCGCGAGGCTGTCAGCATCGAAGAGAAGTCGGTTGTGGTCGCTATGCATTTTGTCTAAAGCTCCATCAGCCTTCACAAGAGTTGATTCATCTTCCTTCAGCTGAGGAAGATGCTCATTCCAGACTGCCAAGTGATCCAGCTTGAAGTACGGGTCCAGCATACTTACCTGATTCTTCAACTCCTCGTAGTAGTCCCTTAGTATCAAAAATGAACACAGGTTGATGTGTCAAGGTTGTCAGACAATAGTGGACTTTAGTTCAACCCCCATCTGACAAGAAAAAACTTCAATGTTACACTGAGAATCCCTTCAATGAAGTGGTTTCGCACAGTCTTGATGGTCTCCGCTGGGAAGCACAGGACGTTCTTGCTGTCACGAAACCTCTCCATCTCCTCAATGACCGATCCCATAAGACAAGCTACGTCGCATTCTTGGTTCCATGTCTCTTGTGACATGCGGAGCACCTGTGCTTTTCCAGCCTTCCTCTTCGTGACGTCGAACACAAAGAGTACTCGTTCCAGAAACAAGATCTGTTTGGGCTCTGTCATGGTCAACAAGTCAGACCAACGCCCATACTCTTGTGCACCTTTTGGAATCCCTTCAAGCAGCCAGCGAGCGTTCAAGAGCATCTGCTGGTTGAAGGCTGCAGGGGTCCAAAGAATGATTCTAATCGTTGGACGAAACTTATATACATTGAAAGAAGTGATTCCAAACCTTCGGGTCCGACAAACAGTTTCAACAGTAGGTGAAAACACAGTTTACCCAAGTGGCCTGATTGCTCCCACTTGTTCACATGAAGGTGCTTCTCGATCACCTTCCATACAACAGGGCATGTCCCAACCTGCCCACACCAGAGTTTGGCATGGAGGTTTGTTTCTCGCTCACACACCTTTGAAACCCAGTCTCCACCAACAATGGTCTAGATTTAGACAAACAGTCTACTTTGGCAGCAGTTCCCACAACGCCTTGAATCCATACATGGCTGCGGCCACGGTCTTTTCTATCCGATATTTGCCAGTTGCTCCGTTGAGCCCATACGCGTTGTACTCATCAACTGCCATGATAAAGCAGTTTCTGTACTCAATATCTGGCGAGTCCTTTGTAGGGACACTGTATTGGTATATAATGAATACAATGAATTATAATGAATAGACATTAAACTAAACCCAGTACAGAACCTTTTTTGGGAATCCTGGAAACTACCCTTGCCAGCTACCCAATTAGAGTAGAGTAATATTATATAATAATTGTTTTGAACCCTAGAGCTCTGTCCTTTTGCAGCTGGCCTGCTCGCTGATGAAAGAGGAGGGTCATCTGGATCAAAGATTTCCTTTGTTTCTCCGATTGCACCATAGAGTTCTGGACACGTCGCCACACATAGTCCTGCTCGTGGTCCTGCTGTATGAACACGGAGGCAACCTCCATTGCAGTGATCAGCCACCTCCAAAGGCGCGAAGTGATCTTGCGAGTGGGGTTTTGTCAGGGCATAATTTGAAGGGGTAATAGTTGGGGTTAGCCTGACGACAGCTCTATGACGTAACCTGAGGCCATCTAAGATCAAAATGAAGTGAAGCCAAAAACTTGGATGCTAGCATAGGGCTGGTCAATAAAGTACCCTTTGAGTGAGTTTATGTTCCTCAAATTTCCAGGTGGGTAGGTGAGGGTGCCTCCATGTGTACCCAATACGGCATGAATCTAACCCAGTGGATTTGATGTTTCCTTCAACTCAAAAACCAAGCCCTTCCACTTATTCTTACCTGTACTTGTTTCAGACTGACAGATAGAGTTGGGAGTAGAAATGCCTCACCTTTGTGAACTCCAACATAGCCCAATCTCAAAGGCGACGCTGGCGGTGCCAGCATCACCTTTGGAAAGTGAACTGTCACCTCTACCTGTGCCTAGGAAAGGCGACGCTGAGGGTCTCAGCATCACCTTTCAACGTTTGCAGTGAAAGGCGACGGTTTGGCTATGTTCCTGTTCCTTTACCTCCCTTTTCATTTCTTTTGCTCTATTGTTTGTTTACCTTGAGAGTAAAGGTGCGGGTCCAAAGGCGACGCTGGCGGTCTCAGCCTCACCTTTCGAGTGTTGAAGCAAGAGACGATGGTTTTCACTCCAAAGGCGACGCTGGCACTGCCAGCATCACCTTCGAAATTTCCAACTATCCCTTACTCCAAAGGCGACCCTTTTGTACCCACTTGTACCTTGTCCTTGAAAGTTCTCACTTTTAGTATTGTTTCCTCAGTGGTGCACCCCCCGTCCAGAGGCCAGGCCTCTTGAAGTCGGCGTAATCCTCATCAGTCATGGACTTGGAGAGCTCCGTGTATGTGTAGCACACAGAGAAAAGCAACACCCCAATTCGGCCAATTCCTTTGCTGGCCTCTACCGATCCAAACCCCAGCAATGCTCCTAAACCATCCCTTCGGAGAGGTTTCATCTCGATGGGCTCTCTCCAGGCTTCATACCCCAAGCTCCAAATGGACATTGCATTCCCCACAAAGTCCTCATAGACTGGAAGTCCATCGGGCGGTGCCCGGAAGCGGAAACTAAGCAAAGGGATGTTGAAGGGCGTCTTCATAGAAGCATCCTGAGACAAGTTGTTGTGATTGAGGGTAATCAATGGTTGTAACAATGTAAGACGTTGTAACAACTGTAATGTCGCACGATTGGTTTTCTGAGTGCTTTGAAGTCATGTTTCGGGCATACGGACTTCTTCTGGTCTTCGAACACTGGCAGTCCCGGTAAGGAGATGCGCAATCCAGTCATGTAAAGGCTGGTAGGTGGAGTCAGACGTGTTGTCCAACAGCCACGTCAAGGGGTGCTGATCCTTCATGGGGTCAAAGTTCCTGAGCATGGGGATGCTTGCAAGATGAAACAACAACTGGTCCTACTTCCACTGTCACTACGTTTGAAAGTCCAAAACTAGTAAATAACTACCTTTAGTCTGGTGTCTGCATAGCCAATCTCATTTTGTTCACCCATGGCCCGAGGTCGAGCTTCGGTGCTTTTGCAGATGGTGGTGTGCCCCCTGAGGCACGCTTACCCATCTCACCAAAGCACTGACTAAGGTCTTCCAACAAAAAGGCTGCGTTTCTTACGTTTAATATAATGAGAGACTAAACAGTGCACTGACTGTTTCCAATTCTTCCCCATCCTTTGCAAAAGTAAAGTTCTTTTTCCAAGTGGCGTCCTTGTCGTTCATCGTCGAATTTAAGCTGTGACTCCGAATTACACAACAGGCGCAAATTGGCTATAGGCAGGTATTTTTCACACCTGTTCTAGCCCAAGGGCAGCAGCCAAAATGAAGCTGCCAACACAACTCAGGTTCATACAGTTTCCGGCCATTTTGACAGCACTAGTCTGACAAATGCCCTGGAGATCAAGCTTTGGGCTTCCTGAAGCGCGGGCTTGCTCCAAAGAAGTAGGGAGTCCATGGGAATTCATTTGTTCCTCCACTGTCAGGAAGCGCTTGTGGTCCTAACACAAACGAACCCTTGAGGACACATGATGTGAACATGCGACCTGCAAAATAAACATGAGATAACACTGTTTCAACACCGTGAGACCCCTCCTTGGAATACAACTTTCCAGTATTTGTGGTCAGAGTGGGCAAGTGGCCATCAGCTGTGCTCCCTCTTCCTCGCCCTGTGCGAACCAGTTGAGTCAGGTCCACACACGAGGTGTCCTCCTTGAAAAGCTGCGGGTTCAAATAGTCCTGCAGGTTGCGATCCTCAGCGTGCGAGCATGCAGTCAGAACCTGAGTTCTGAGATGAGGATGGAACATTTGTGTTGGGGCTGGATGGCATAAAGGGGGTATAGGCCTTTTCTTTAATTCAAACTAAAGATCTTCAGAATCAGTCAGCCTTGAAGGTGGACAGTCCAGGAAGTAATAATCATTGGCTGTCATTCGCGGCCTGGCTTTGAGGGCATCCAAAATGGATTCCAATGGGTACTGCGAATTCCATCGGAAAAGGGCATGACGCCAAGCAATCCCATAGATCCTTGGACGAGCGCACCCCAAACCAAAGTGTCGTGGGTCAACCTTCGCGGAAACAGCAGTCCACTCTGCGCCCAACTCATCCCGAACCATATCCTCAATGGGGTACTCGGGGACGTTTTCCAACAACAGTATGTCAGCGTCTTCGGCCACGGAGTAAAACTTCTCGTGGCACTTGAAGACAGGGTCATCCTTCTTGAGGCCTTTGCCCATGTTGCTGTATGAGGTGCAAGGCGGGCCAGCCAAGATAACTCGTGGTCCTGAGCAATCACACATGAGTGGACCTGGCTATTTATTGAGCTCGGGAAGAAACGCTGGATTCAAATAAAAGCATACTACAGTATATGAAGCAGACTAGATTCGTTTTGGAATGATTGACATCTTGCACTTGCACATCTTCTTGTGAGTGGTACAGTAGAGAAACGTGGAATCCCTCTGGAACTCCATCACATCTGAAAAGCAACAGACTTTGTATGTACTGGCAAGCACCTTTTGGCATGCTGGCTCCCATTCAACCTGGAACATCATGTTCACATGACGGCCACGCAAGGGAGTACCTTGTAGGCGATTCTCCTTGTCGACCATGTGCTCGATGCTCAGCAAGGCCTTGGGGGGCACAGGTTGCTGGGAATGCCTAGCATTTGGAGAAGACATGAAATAAGACATGACTAACATTTTTCTGTTTCTGTCATTCCATCGAGCTACACTTTCTGCGCAGCCCACACCACTGAACACAGTTGCAGCTTGCCACTTCCATGTGGCGAGTTTAGCAAGCACTGCACGTTTGCCAAATACCCGAAACAGCCTCAAAAGAAACTGCCTGGCCCAGTCAAAGGAAGCTGGTACACTGGCTGGTCCTAAAGGATGGTCCTCGCCGGCGATGGTGGTGTTAGTCTTTGGCCAGCATTTCCTGGAATCAGACAGTTTGCAAACTTATGCAATGGACTGTGAATCACTGACTGATTGTAGGTTGAATGGGGCAGTCCTTCTAATCTGCTTCTTGGCAGCTGACTTCTTCAGGGACGGCTTGATCACCCTGACAGGGCTTGAAGGATTGTGAAGGGTTCCTCAAACCCAAGCATGGCCTTGCAGGTGGCTTCTGTCCACCGTGAGATAGCAGCTTGATGGCTTCCTTGATGGTGAGCTGCTTGGTCCTCAAAGCATCTCAAAGCAGTGAGGTGGGTGGCAGGTTTAGGTGGCAAGAAACATCCCTTTTGACACTACTGTGCTTTCAAGAATCATCCTCAAAGGCCGGTAGCAGATAGATTTGCCCGCTTGTGATCCAAAAAACTAGTACAGTAGCGAAAACAGAGAGGGAGACAAAGAAAGATAAAGAGAGAGAGGTGAACAAAACATGTCTCATTTGCTGCATCATGTGAACGAACGGTTTGTGTTTTTGTCCTCACTGACTGGTTCCTAGTTTCGTTCACAGCTTTCAAACAGATTTATTCGGAAGAGCAAACTGCTCTTCTGAAATCTCAGCTGCTGCTCTAGACAAAATAGACAGGCAGGCATACAGCCTACCCACAGCCCCCTCTCCGGTTTTCAGCTTCTCCAAGTTGTCCAATCGGGACCATACCTGGCAGAAACTGGAGAGGCTTCCTGTATTGAACCATGGTTGCACCCTCAGCCTCCAACAAAGCACCGTGAGCAGTCACTTGGGGATCACGCTCAAAGAGATCAGGAGTATCAGCCTAGCAAGGTGGGTGGAGAGTTCACCATCTAGCTGAAACCCACACCATACCATTTGCAGGCCTTTGTTTTCGAAGTTCCTGGTGATTGTTTTGGGGATTGCGGTCCTGGAGTCCCAAAAGTGTCCTGACAGGAGGAAACTCAAAATGGACAGACATCGTGTTGAATTTAATGACCCAGCCTGGGGTTGTGAATCCTCCAAGTCGATCTGCGACTCAACCAGCAAGCTTGGAGGAACGCGAGGATATGGTTCTGATCTCCTACACGGGTTCAAAACATGGTGACGGTTCCCTTTGGTTAGTGGGTCCTTGTCGGCTCCAAAGGTGACTTCAACTTCCAGTCCCGGGGCATATCCTGGCGGACCAAGTGAGAGCACAGCTGGAAAGTGGGAGGGCCCGTGACGGTCCTCAAAGCGAAGGGGACCAAATTTGGGTTCGAGCCAGAACGTTTGTCTCTGGAATCTATATAAACACGTCATTGCACATTCATGCATATGATTCAAGCTGACACTTGTGTTTGGTTTCCCACATGGAGGATGAAAAAGAGACGATAAACAATATTATCACGTTTTTTTGTCTTAAGCCTTCTTGAACAAGGCAGCAAACCTCATTTGAGGTACAATGTGCTGCATATGCCTGATCGAAGACGCATCAAAACTGATCAATGCATCGTACTCATCCACGGTTCTGTTTAGAAGCCATGTGAGCCTTGGTAGCGGAGCTGGCTCCGCGTGGGCAGCTGCCAACTTGCAGAGGTAGCGAACAGTGCGACCTGTGCTCTCTGTCGCATCTGTGTTCAACAGGGTGTCGGCCAATGCCAACAGCTTCTTCCTACGCTCCACGTCAAAACAGCGAACAGGTCGTGGTTCCTGAGGTAGCGGTGGAAGAAGGCCCATGAACGCTTGTGGCCATACAAGCACTGGGTCCTGCACAAGCCATGGACTAATTAACGCCAAAAAGCCGCGAGCAAGTCCACGACACCACAATCAACAGATTAAAACAACACGTTTTTCCTGTGAGAGATTCTTGTCGCTCGCAAATCGCTTCACAAGACAGATGACATCGTTGCTTTGCTCTGGCCATCTGTCCGAAGAGCAGGAGATGTGCAAGTGCGTCGGGACATCTGGCAAACGTGCTATCTATCAGCGTTCATGTTTATTTGCGTACCGCTCAAATGACATGCCTGCCATACCTCTCCGTCTCAGGAACACAAAAGAATGCGCGCCGCTGATATCATCTTTGAGGGCGCCAGCATATCGAACTGGTGCGTGTTCTAGCCTCTAGGCTACAAATCAACAAACTGAGGGATGACAATTGGAAAGTGCTCATGAGGCATCACACGTGCAAACAAATGGCCAACTCTTGAAGTCCCTCACCGACTCCAGCTTTTCCACATAGACTGTCGCAGACCCGAGCCATGCCTTCAAGTTGACTTTCTGTACAATGCGTGTCACTTTCCTCCGTCGCTGGCAGGAACGAGCAGAACACCTAACTCTAGAAAAAAAACAATACATCAGACATGGTCATTGCAAGTAACTCCACTATATCATCGTCGTCGGCCAGGTCGTCCACAAATTTCATTGCTCGGGAAATTATGCCGAAACATTGGTCTCAGTGAGTGGGCCGGTGGTGCAAAAAGAACACATCTTGAGACACAGTTGTTTCCATTTGTTGAAAGATTAAATCCAAGATTCCCAGACATCCATGTGTGTGTCCCACCCGGCTCATGCATATCCCAACCAACTCCAAGCCCTTCTGCAACAATATGAAGGATAAGAGTTTGTAAACTGTGTTGTTCTTGCTCTCTTTCACGGTGTTGTCCACCTAGGAGGCTACAAGGGAGCTGGACTTCATCTACAATCTATAGCTGAGTTTCAACTCTTTGAGCAACATGTTTTCACAAAACAGGGACGAGAGACCCATAACATCACCCGGCGAGGGAAGGCGATGTTATGGTTGGTGCAGTACTCGTGCATTTTGTCCAGTGAACGAACCAAACATTCGCTAACCATGCTGCCATCCCCTGCAAGCCGTGGTTCTAAAACGTAGAGGAACATGGCAAAGCCATGCAGCCAGATCCCCTGCAGCTTGCTCTTCGGGCGGTCATATTTACTCAGTGATTTCGTAAGTAGGTGGTGCCGTCGTCTGGGCACCACCCACTTCGACTGATCCATACCGTCCTGGGTTCCCAAAAACAAAACCATCCTTTCAGCCGACAACGATGCGATGCTTCGTGCTACCTTCTTTCGATCATAGCGTATGAACTGATTGGTGGTAAAGACTCCCAATTAATGGCCAGAGCTCAGCATGAATCAGGAGAGTGGCGTCACCAGGCTTGGAGTCCTGTCAGCTAATCTCGAGTCTCATAGCACGCAGTCACCCCAAGCTCTCACAAATTGCACAACGTCCTGGAGCCAGTTCTCAAACTTCCTGTCTTCCCCAACAGCATCAAGATGACTCTTATATTGTTTGCTGATGGTGAACTTGTCAAGAGCATCCTTACTGTCAAACACTCTGAAACCATCAGTTGCTTTGCTTGTCTCAATGGAACTGACATGATTCCATGCTTACACTTAGCATTAGCGCTGTCTAGCGGCAGTGCTGTCCTCAAAGGCTGTCTTGTAAGCTGTGCAATCATCGCACGCGGGAAAGTTGGTTGGGTGTGCAAATCGCAATATGTTGGCCCATCGATGATTGTAGCGTCGGGTGAAATGAGAGTAACTAAGTCGCTCAAATCGTGGAAATGGAGCACCATGCAATCATGACATGCTCGGCGCAACGTTTTAGTCGAGGCACGACATTCCCCCAGGACACTGAGAATATAGCATTTGCAAGTTGCCGGGAGGGAGGTATCTCGTTGGAAGAGAGGACACATCTTGGGCCCAGTTAGTGTCTACTATCCTGAGTTATGTCTTAGCCCGCGCTTGCATATGCACACATGAGTTCCACTTCTTCAAACTACTTTGCTCATTGATGCAAAAAAGATTCTGGGTCCATAGGCTCTTTGAACCCATCACATGCAATTTCAAATCAAGGTCTGTTTCCACACTTTCGTTCTCAAGGGGCAACGCGTCGTCCTCTGCGTCGGAGATTGGGAGTCCTACCACATTAGACGTACAAGCTGTCATCGGAAAAAAATACAGAAGGGTCCTTCATCATCATCCACATGCTCACTCTTGCCAAAAAAAGGAAGTGAGGTTGTCGACTTTGGATTTTGCAGCAGCAGCTTTCTTGTGAACTTCCCGAAGTCGAGCTGCTCGCTGGAACCTCGAACTAGTTCCCAGCTTGGGAGTCAAGAGTGGGTCACTTGACACACTTAAGATGTTATTTACATTGAGCCTGGAAACTGGGTTGGTAGCATGCCAGCCTGGTTGATGTAGGTTCGCAAAAAGAACTGGTCGATTCGAAGGTACTTCAAAGGTGTTCTCTTCTTGACCTGTGCAGGCCAAGTCACACAAAATTGGCAACATGGTTGTTGCATACCGATACCAACACCATGTCACGATGTCACATAATGCATCAAGTAAGTTTTACTGCTAAGGGACAGCCCCAAAGCATCGGTACCGCCGGTCCAACAATCCACTTCCAGATGTTTTGAAGCGACTGCTTCTGATCCCAATCACAGTGGCCAAGCATTTGGGCGCCAGCTGTTTACCCAACAGAAGAAATCTCCTTTCTCCAGACTTGGTCCCCTTGACGAGATTGTAGATCTGAGCAAAAAGCGAGAATCCACTTTGAAAGACACTGCAGGATGAACTCATTCGTGTTTATTCTTGATTTTATTCAGAACACTTACTAGGGAAATAAGCCCAGAACGTATTGATCTTGCAAAGGCTTCTCCAAGCTCCAAAATATTTCCAGAAATGAACCCACATCAGATTCAAGGGGTCGTATTCTTTCATAGCACCGTTTTCTCGTGCATCGACATTCATTTCTGGAAAGCACAGATCTTAACCTCGAAGTGGATGCTCCATTGTCTGCGTGCCTTGTACATGGCGCTGCGAGTGGGGCGAGTCAGTCACTGTTGCTTACTATTGACTCTACTAAAGACACACACTCCACAAAACAAAACCAACTGCTAATCTATACCAGGTGCGAAGTACGAATCTCTGGATTTGCGTACATCCTTCTTCTTGTATTATCATAGTTAGGACGCTTTCGAGGCTCTTCCCGAGGAACTTTAAAGCTCGCGGCGCTGGCGTTCAGACCTTTGAATTCCCTGACAGATGCCAAGGAAAAATCGATCGCGGCATGGCTGTGTGACACAGGATCCTTCGAACCCTTCGCTTCATCTTGTTTCAGAGAGCGAAAGAATGCCCTTCGGGCATTCATTTTGAGCCTGGACCTCACGGCCCTCGAATAAAACGAAAAGACCCTCAATTGTAACGAAATCGACTTAATGGCCTCCAACCTACTAGCGTCCTTGCTACTAGCAGTGCTGTAGCTACTCGTTTACTAGTGGTGCCAAAGATGGTGTCTTGAGGTCCAATCCACCAAGAAAGGGTGCGGAAAAAAAGGGATTGCTCTGGGGGATGGAAGCTCAGTCTGGGACTTTCGCGCCTAAGGCTTCCACGTGCTCCAACTTCTTGATCCCCTTGGCAACGAGCTCCAGCATGCCCACTTCTTTGTTCTGTTTCTCAACGCCCAAACAGCGTGAATGGCGTATGCCACTGCTACAGGGTTGAGAAGAAACTCGTTTCCCCAAGTTGGACAGACGCAAACTCCTGAACTTCACCGCCAGAAAGGGCCACGAGATCCGTCTAGATAGGAAGGCCAAGTTGGACATCCTGCAATCCTGCCCCTTCTGCAGCTGAGAAGCGCCAAAGTTGACGCGGCTGATCGGCTGTCCTAAAGCCACCTGGAACTCCTGCCAGCTCAGACTGAGTGAAGTAGCAACTGCTGGAAGTTCGGCACTCAAGACCCCTCTTGTCCGCACAGGGTACTACGAGCTGTGTCTCCAAAGCGATGCATCACTGACCCAGATACTCCAAAACAGCCCTTTCCAGGTCCCTCAAAACGGAACTCTCGATCCCACAACCTGAAGCCCTTCTCCGAACGTCTTCGGGGCGACTTGGGTCGTGTCGACCTAGGGTCGCTCCGCCAGGTCTGCCCGGCGCAAAAACGGCCAAAGACTATATGGAAAGATGTGCCCAAACCACACCAATGTAGGTCAATACCAGACCCCCCTTTTCGGGGTGTCTAATTGTAGCTCGTTAAGGGGTATCATGGGGTATCCATTCACCACCCCTTATATAGGAGGCCCTGGTATGCAATCTTTTCATCCATTGAAGGTGTCCAAGAAGTTCCTGGCCTGAGGGGGGTCACCTGTCATCTGACCAATTGCTCAAAACGTGGTCAGACCTGGACTCAGGGTGCGCGGGCCAAGTACCACGCGCCTGGAGATTCGCCACCAAGTACCACCCGAAGCGACCCGTGAGCTGCACGGCGGCGACCTCCTGCGAGCGCTTAGAGGTAAAACAGCAGCTGCAGCTGATGGCGGGAGGAGGGGATGGACGGGAGGAGTGAGATCGAGAAAACCAATGATCATGAAGCGAAGCAATTGGACCAGCAGTCACAAAAAGGGGGTGCGATCCATGGAGGAAGTCGGGGTGCCCAGAACATCCACTCACTGGATGGGACTAAACACCACCCCCTTGTGACTGTTGGGAGAAAAAGACTCGTGGACCAGAAGTCCCAACAGGATGCTCTCCATGGAGAGTGCCGTCGGGGTGCCAACATCCACGGCCGCTCCTGGATGGGACTAAACACCACACCACCTTGACATGCGACTCCTGGGGATCTGAGGGTTGACAAATCAACTCAAAGGAGCTAAAGATCGTGAAGCTCACACTCATCCCATTGAGGATGCCGAGACCCAGAGTGGCAAAGAACAGAAGTATTTGTGCCAAGACTGGGTGAAGTGTTGCAAATTGTTTAATGTTCATAGCATAGGCCTTGCTGCTGGCCATATTGATCATGAATGTGAGGCCTCATCTATGTGCCTCAAAGGCCACAAATAAAGGTTGGCAGGACAGAATACACGTTCGCGAACCTGTATTTAAATCATGCACGATGACAAACAGGCATAATGATGCCCTTTTGGGACTAATAGAGGGGTTGATCTGGTGGTTGTTTACTTGGAGGAATCTCCTCTACAATCAACCCAGTACAAGTGAAACGCCCTGGTTTTAACTTTGAGGCTCCTGGATTCTTAGGATCTCGAACGTGGCTGGACGAGCTGCTCAGTCTAAGGGTTATATATATATATATAATTATTACTATACCAGCACCACCCGGTTCGGGTGGTTATTGGATGGACTTGAGGCCAAGGGGGGGGCGAAAGCTAGCGCTCCAGAATGGGAAAGTGGAGGGCAGCGAGGTAGGAAAAAACACGGCGCTCTTTTTGGAGGCAGGGGTGAAAGAGTCCTTTATATGTGGCTCTTTGCCCGGATCCTCCTGCGAGAGAAGAGAGAGAAGAGAGACGGAAAGACGAGAGACAGAGAGGAGAGAGAGAGAGAGAGAGGAGAGAGAGATGAGAGAGATGAGAAAGAGATGAGAGAGATGAGAGAGATGAGAGAGACAGTGAGACAGTGAGACAGTGAGAGAGTGAGAGTGAGAGTGAGCGAGTGCGGCCGCAAGATACGCAACGCTAACCGCATGCCAAAGAGCGACGACAGGACGGAGTCGAACTTGCGAAGAGGGAGGAGGGAGGGAGGGAGGGAAGATGGGAGGAA